ATACTATTCAATTCTTCGAGCTCATATTTCCTTATCCGCCCTCTTATCCAAATCATATCTCGTGTTTTTCAATTGCCCTAAGGGCAGCCGACATTGAAGCTTTGTGCTTTTACTGATCCATCGCATTGCAAGAGTGTCGGTCGGCTCAGGGTGAAGCGCACGAACCAAGGCAGCGGTCGAATAGCGACAGGACCAAAACCACTAAGCTGTCGAGTCAGAAGGAAATTGAGGAAATAAAAGAGTTGTGGAAGCGACATCAGGTCGCTTACCCGATCGATCAGCCAACATACCTCTCATCCAATTCAATCAGGTTTCCCAGAATCAAGACAAAGTTGACGGGTCTCGCTAATTTCAACGAACGGAAGAATAAAGTTGAGACTATCCGGGAACAAAGAAGATATTTCCCGTTATTAGCAACGAGATCGCTCGACCACGTCCAACGGGTAAGAACGCGGAAATATGGGAGAAAGTCAGTACCGAGGTCGCAAACTGGTTAATGAACAACATTTCGCCGAACATTCGCAATTCGATCAAGAACAATAAGATGGACTGCGTCTTTGCTGAGGATACCTAAAAAGCCATCCCGGAGGAGTGTCTGGGTTACGGCGTGTTCGACGAGGTTTCAGTTGCCCACAAATACTGCTGATGCGTGTCAACCAGTATGCCGACGTCCACTCCTTCATCAATGCATTCTGTGGGTGTGTTGAAAATCTTGACGAATCACCCTGCACTGTCAGTCCCTACAAATTGACAAGGTAGATGCTCAGCGAAATCTGCGTGACAGACCCAGATTCTGCGAGCAAGGTTCTCCATTCGATCCGTGACAAGAAGAAGAACGAGACGAATTTTGACCGGAAAGACTTTCTCAAGGCCGCGAAGGACGTGAAGACATACTGTCTTGCTTCCTCTCTATCCTAAATTACCTTCTTATCGACCACCGTCCTGAGCTTCGGCCTCAGCTTGGACCTTAACCTCGACCTGATGTTCTCCACGCAGATCTCCGTTGGCAGAAGCTATTATTCACTCGAAACTTGCTCCGAGTAATCACATTTGCCGGGGATGCAGGCTGGCATATTACATCAAAGGAAATAATTGTTTGGGGTTAATCACATGAGGGCAAGGAACTCACTGTAGAGAAATACAACATCTTATCTTCCAGTTTCAAATTCTCCAGTTTCAAATTCCAAGCAGCCTGGCTTTTGGTATTCCAAAACAAGCAAGCTGGCATTTAAAGACCCTACAAGTCGTAATATTTGCCGATACACAAATGGACGATCCATAACTCCCCAATTCTCACTAGTCAGTAGCCTTGGTACTAGAGCAAATGAAAAAGAGTCATGCGGTTAAGTAAGCCTCTCATGATAAGATCAATACAGCTCAATTTGGAAATTATTTGCAACAGATCGGGCCTTGGTTACAGGCTTTACAAGACTAGCTTTTTTTGACTCTCAAATTTTCGAGAATAAATCCATCTCATGTACCTTTAGGTCAAACGGATTCCATAGTCTGCCTTGTAGAAAAGCTCGTCGTCCTTGTAGAGCGATTTGAACCGGCTATAGCAGGGTTTTGGCTTGGGTTTGCGACGAACTTGGCACGCAAAGCGGCTCGGATGTCCTCTCTGCTTCTATTTTTCCACGTAGGGTATCCAGCCTGGCTAAGTGGAAACAAAACAAGATTTTTTGGGCGTGTCATAAACTCTTCAACATCTGGAGCTGTGCTTGCGGTAATTATATCAAGCTCTTTTGCAATTTGGCGACAGTACGACGTCAGTGGGAGATCATTCACATCATGGCCAAAAGGATTTTCGATCTCACTACCGATTGTGAGAAGGCCAATGATAATATATGCAGCAACTGCACTCACTGTCAGCAATACTTTTTGCATATCAAAGCCAAGTCACTTACCCATAGAGGCAGGTATAGTAGTCCAGTCCAAGAATTTATAAAGTTGAAAAGGAAGTAGCATAACGTATATCCAGGATATCTGGGCGATGGCAATGCTATAAGCAGCAGGAAGAGGCGTATCCAGTACCCTCTCCGTTCCGGTCAAAATCTCGTTGAGTGAGGCAATTAATGCCACTAGATGTCTAGGTTAATAGAGGTTAGAACATCGGTAGCCTTTTGACCCACTTGTTTGACCCTGAAATTGAGCCAGGGAAAGTGTGCCATTCTTGACGCAGGAGTCAACATAGGAAGATAAGTGTACAAGAATCTCAGCCGGAAGATGCCCGAGTGGCTTTTTTGAACGCTTGATCAATTTTCGCGGGTTTGATTTGGCAAATGACAGGCTCAGATATTCACCCATTGACTTCCATGGTGTTTTTTGGTGGGGATTCAACGTCTCACGATCGTGAGCATCAAGGGCAAACGTATCTAGATGACCGATTAATCCCGCAAGGTCTTCGTATGCAACGTCTGGTTCAAATCGAAGTTTGTGTTTTAGAGCCACCGCAAATGCGAGAATCAAATTGAGAGCAGACCTATCATTTCAGTCAGTAAAAATCTTATGACTTCCTATTCTTACTTACAGCTTCCTTAGGAGATCTACATTTCCCTCTTCTTCCCTTTCATCAATATGCACCCAAATAATACGGGCTAAATTGCGCGAGGTTTGGATAAGCGAGGCCCAGTATTTTCGTCCATCTGCCCATCTTGCATGGCGTCAATAATGATTTTCGGCTAATGCCGATGTCTTTTTGCTACTTGGGCTAACCTTTCATACGCAGTCGAGCCACGGAATGACAACGACAGGCCAACCAGGAATCCGAGTACGGTAAGTAAGATATTGTTGATTCCGACTGTCCGGAAGTGAGAGTTCAACTTTGTTAGTCGATGAATGGGTTAGAGGGGCGCTCCCAACGAGAAAACGCACGATCGTGATAGAAATGAGACATGCAAGTAATGAGGGTTGCCCATCCTCCAACAATCAACAAAGGTATGATCAGTTGAGGCATTATACTGCCTTGGACCCGCATAACAATTGGCCACTTGGAGTGTTGGGTCATGTTTCGTGGCCCGTGCTAATTGTTGATGGCCTGTATTTAGCTGATCATGGTCGGCAATATTTGTCAAGCTTTTCCATCTCCACATACAAAGTATCTTTCTAGCTCACTCCTGTCTTCAACATGGAACTGTGAGTCCCGGGAGTCTGCTAGATTATCCAAAAAGCTAGGGCGTCGCGAGGCCCTCCCAAATGACTCCCACTCCTTTGCACTACCGGATTGTGCATCTGGGGAGTCGGCATTTTCCTTTTGGCGTGCACCAGTCGAGTTGAGCGTGTGGGTAGGACGGTTGTTATCCGATGCGACCGGTCCTTCGTTGTCTGACATTATTGCATAAATACCGCTCTGGTATAAAAAGACAGGAATGAGAAAGGTGGACCTTTCATCTGTCGGAAACTAGTCTGGTCGTGAAAACAGACGCAAACTGTTATAAGTCAGGATGGAGGGGGATTTAGGAAGATCATCCAGCTCAAAATACGTCATCTGGTAACAACTAACTATCTGACCATCTACCTGCAGCTTCCGTCGTTGAGTTAACCTGTGCCGCCCAGTCTGTTGTATCACCCAGGGAGCTACAACGCCACTTTCCATCTTGGGAAACGGCTATAGCCACGCCAAGCCAAATATTATGAAATATAGTTGGTTCTGTTTCATATGGTCGTCGTTGTACACGATTCAACGGGATCTAATGCCTGCACTTGTAGCGTGAAATGGTCGCGTGAATGCCCCGCGTGGATAGCCCAATTTGACTGGGATCGGCGCAAATGGCGTTGCAAACCTTTCTCCCTCGCCAAAGACGCGTGTATTCCTTTGAGATACCAATTTATCTTTGAGGGATCGGAAATATGATGCCAAAATATTTTCTTTATTCATGGATCAAACTTGAATGAGGTGACAGCATAAAATATTACGCATACAACTCCAGGACCTACTACATTTAGTACTTGGTCGCGTGCCAGTGGCAACACATCAATATTGCCGAGGGGTCCTAGCCTCCGAATAAACCTGGAAAAAGAATGCCTCGCCTTGGAAGTCATTTAACTTGAACGGTCTCGGGAGTCAGAACTAAATTTGCGGGCGATTAGATGCAAATCAAACGATGTCTTTAAAGAGAATCCACCAATCATTCCCGAGATCCTTGTAAGGTCATCATATTAGTAGCATATTCATACAATATGTAACGCCCTCCGGGGATCAAGCTGTCGCGCCATCTCAGCCATACTAGCGCCCCATCCAGAACCGCGGGTTCCAAAATGCAGGGTCCAGGGGATGACAAAATCTCCAGGAACTGAAAACCCCGGAATAGTACGACACCTATGGGAGGTGGAAAACCTTGAAACAACTTGAATGATTTGATTTCCAAGTTGGTGCACATAACTCGGACGAGCTAGGTATATTTATTCCCTGTAGCTGTAATTCTTCTAGTACAATGAAAATAGTAGAATCTTTGAATTTTGTAGTGGCAAGAATCTGTAACCTTGGGCTCAAAATTTTACATACATTTCGTTGCGTGTTTGGAGTTCAAGTTGCCTTCGAAATCTGCCGGCCCCATCCAACGCGTCAACACAGCTGGGTTCAAGCCCCAGACGCGGAGCTCCGGTCTCTGGATTGGGGGCCCCCATATGCCTAGCGTCAGAGCTTGGCGAACCGGCTGAGATCTTTGCCTAGCCGAGCCATCCCGTTCTGAATCGCGAGCAAATCCCACACGTGCATGCTAAGCGAAAAGCGAAAGTTGAGCAAGAGAATCGGACTGGATGAACGATCATGGGTCAAATATGGAGTTATAAAATTAAATATGAGTAGACTTCCTCAAAATACTGGTTCAAACTTTGCATCAACGTCACTGGCGGTGGCAATGACTAAGCTTTCTGGGGCGTGGTTGCATTGGGGCAATTCATGCAAGACTTAATTAATACCCGAGATGGTGGCCCCAGTTTAATGCGAAAATATTTCGAGATCTCCGGATGCCAGCCTCACTACACCCCTGACGCCCTCGCTCATGTCAGTTACCGTGAAAAATGGTAACTCTTTGTTTTTGATCAACTATGTCACCCAGATCCTCTGCTTTGTCGTTGTGACACCGCTGGTATGGTTGCGGATCTTTGTTCGGTGGCGGTTGAAGCACGCCCTTGGATATGACGATGGTATGGACCCTTGCTGCCACTAGAATGGGCTTGGCTAATTTCAATAGCGGCATGTGTTATCGGATGGGTATGGGAACATCGGCCATTCGCTCACGTAGTCGCGCAACTAACTGGACTTTTACTAGGTGTTATTTATGGGATATTGTGCAAATGCCTTGATATGTGAGCTACTTTCCAAACTTCCTTCAGTCTGGACCGAATAATAATAACCTGAGTTGCAGATGGATTCTCGGGGTGCACCATACCACCCTCGGAGTTGAGAAATGATGAGTTTGAGCAATGCATTAAGGTAAATCCAATGGTAAATCAATGGCAACTATCTGAATAATTTAGCTCATCAGCTCGAAGGTTTCCTATGTGGCAACCGCCATTTATGCACCCACGGCTCTTTTCGTCAAGAGCAGCCTAATCTATGTTCTAATAAGGGTGTTTCAACCATTTTATACAGGCATGATAGCCTTGTACTGTCTTCTTGGTGTGACTGTCGGTTACTACGTCATAATCACTTTCATCAAAATCTTCATCTGCAACCCCGTCTCGGCCTATTGGCGACAATCCGAAAGCGAAAATGCGACGTGCTTGAGCCAGCCCGGAGTCATTATCGCAGATTCTATCATCAGCTTTCTGACTGACATTGCCATTTTCGCCTTCCCAGTTGCCCTGACCTGGACCTTGCAAATGCCTATTTGGAAGAAGATCCGTGTTGTTTTTCTTCTCGGCCTTGGAGGCATCGCCGTTGCTTTCAGCCTCTTCCGACTCGTCATCGGTGTCCATGAGAAGAATAGACCCCACCAAACGACGATGTATATGAAATCTATCTTAACAGCGTGTGTAGATCCCCCTCCATGAATTGGAAGAGATTTACCTAACAGTGTCTCAGAAACGCGGAGATTGGTTTCGGTCTTGTTTGTGCTTGTCTCCCAGCCCTGAATGTTCTTACAACGCACAACAAACAACGTGCGCCCGAGGCAAAAGGAATCTTCACTCGTCGCAAGAAAAATGCTCAATCAACAAATCGCATATTTGATGGCGACCAGTTTTCGCATACACAACTTAGTAGCTGTGCTCGCCGGGGTTCAACCGACTCCGCTGGTCTCATGGCTAGCCACCAAGCCTCGGGCTTTCCTATTGGTGACGGAAGTGATACGATAATCAAAATGGTTTCATTAAATCAACGCTGGGAAACTGCGTCTCAAAAGTAAGTTTAGTTACGATATGACGGGATAGGCTTTATTGACAAATTGCAGCAACCAGAGAACCGACCGATCAGAAATAATATAATGCAATAATTCTATGGAGTATTCCGATATATACGATTTATCTAGTTCTGAGAATTCTATAAACAAATTCTATGTGATGCAAGTATAGGCGTACAATGCAAGACAGCCTGCTGATTTGCACAAATTTGCCCCTTTTTGTACAAGACAAACACAGGCCCTGCTGGGTTGTCAAAGCTTGATTGGAGAGGTGACGAGCTTCACTTTCTCCAATTAGGCACTGTTGGCACACGACCAACTGTTAGAGGCGGAGTCGCCGTGAATGGCAACGCCCGATACCCAGAGACCCAAAACGCACTAATCAATGTCAAACATTAGTTAAATTGGCCCAATACAAATTTGGAAAGAGCGTTTTTGTATCGTCATCTTGACAGGTAACAGAGGAGAAACTTACGATGGCGATGGCGATACCGAGAACACCGACGTTGATGATTGTCAAAAATGACTTGCGCCAGTTCTTGAAGTACTGGCCTTGGTTCATGTGGAACCAAAAGATGGCGGGGAGCCCAACTGTTCAATAAAATTAGCACGGGTGCCAGACCTTCAATGAGATCTCAAGTCTTACAGCTAAACCAGCTTCCGAAAAGCGCACTCTGTGAATTGGCAGTTCGTTAGCAAAAAATCCCCGGTGAAACGTATGAATATGGGATACATACAATAAGACTCAGCAAGTCATTGAAGACAGGAATCGACTCGGCAACAACCCAGGACACGATCCACACGCCAATGCAGATCGCGACCCATGAGCCAACGGAGAGAAAGCTCCGGCTGTGCATCTTGTCGGATCCACGGAACATGCGGACGTAGATGTATTTGCAGGCGACATGGCCCAGAACAACACCGGAAAGGATAGTCTATGTTATTTAGCGACACGTGAAAATCAAAGATTGCGAAGACTGGAGTCCTACCGTCGGAATAGCAAGGCCCCAGGCAATCTTGCTCATAATAGGGCTCAATGATGAAATGGCCGGTGACTTGACATCGGGACCAACGTAGTGGTAGATAATCAATGCACTGACGAGGTACAAAACAGTATCGATGATCTGGAGCATGGCAAGCGACTTGTTAAAAGTGCGAGGGTCCTCGGTCTCGGACATGAAGCCAAAGTAAGCCACGTGGGCAACTAAAGACACAAGTTAGCATTAACAGGTCTTCAAGTCTGATATGGAAAGTGGAAGTTGCTGGTGGCGGGAACCCCAAGGTGGTGTCAGACATACGGTAGGCAAAGATAATGTTTGTAACTGCCAGGAAGCCCTCGCGAAAGCTGACTTCTTTGGTCGCTTCATTCACAACTTGCGTCTTGGTTTCAACTCCCGCGGCGACCATGGTCACGACAGTTGCAACGAAGACACTCACGAATGCTATATATGAGTCAGCAAGGTTTTGATGTTTTGAAATGATTACTATTTCACTGAACACCAAAAAGAGCCACTTACAGATAACGGACATCCAGTAAACCTTGTTCATGGTGCGAGGAAGAGCGCCCAGGAAGCAGATGACCAAGCCAACAACACCGAAGACCAATGTGCAAGTTCCATGGTCTGTCAGGACATTCATCAGGATGTTGAAAGTCAAGATATTGCTGGCCATGAGAAAGATCAGAAGTAGTAATTGGCCGATTCCCAGAACCTCACGGCCAATGCGGCCCATGAGGAGCTCACCAGCATCTCCCATGCTGTGAACTTGGGGGTGGCGCAACTTGAATTGGCCAATTTCATAGCCAGTGTACCATGACAAGGCAGAAATGAAAATAATCATGATAGCAGCACTATATGCAAGAGTGAGAAAATCAACCTTTGGAAATCGAATAGAAAGCTTTCACATACGGAACCATGCCAAGCGTGGCCACTGCAGATGGAAGAGACAGAATTCCCACCGAGACATTCTCTGCAATCATGACTAAATAGTTTGTCAGAAACGATTGGGGTATAGCTTTTCATAAGATGAGATGAACACTCACGCATCCCACAGTGCCTAGACATTCGATATCAGTTTTCGGAGTTCAAGAGACATTATAAGTGTCAATAAAAGAAGTCTTAACTTACCACCACTTCATGGTGCGATATTTGACCTCTGCGGTCTCTTCATTGCCAAAAGGTTCTAGGTCCTTGGCCGATAGAGGCTTCTCAGTGTCCTTCTGGAGGGGCTCCTCAACGGCCACCTTCCGGTCGACGGGGTAAGATTCTTCGTCGCTGCTCATAGTGGCGGGTTGATGCTGTCCTTCTCCACGTCAATTGATATGGGGATTATAACCCAAAAGAACCAAGTGGGACAGCTAGACTAGCATCAATCAATGGCGTTGATGTCGTGGGAAAGCAATTTCTAACAGAAATGCATCGGATGTTACCCCGGCAAGAAAAAATCTGAACGGCTTCGGGAAACCGGGTGGAGCCCCGGGAAAGTTGCCGGATGGCCGGTTGCAAAACTGACGACTCAATCCCCATCTACGGGTAGTACCGAGCCTAAACAGAATTAGACTTGGATATTAGTTCTCTAGAATGCAATTCATATGTGATTATAGGGCTCTGCGAAGTTATATTATGAAATTCACCCGACAAACCACTATTATTCTCGATCGGAGATTGTCCCGAAGTTTCCCGTAAATCTTCGGGTATAGGCTAGACGCTTATTTAGCATATTCTAAAGCTTTTCCCCGCTAATGATAAAGGAGATTCATCTTGTTTAGGTGGAATTCATTTTTGAATTCTCAATCAGACACGATTTTTAATTGTAGTAGCGCTCAAGTTGCCGTTTCCGGCCGCGGTCGGACCTGCATTCCATTCCGGCATTCAAAATGGTCTACCAGCGGCAGGCCGAAAATGGCAATATTACCAATTGGTTGAAGATGTGATAAAAGTCGCATGTTCACAAAAATTAGGTAGAAGGGGCAAAAAAAAGCATACCTGGTAAGGCTATGTAATATCTTCCGAGACTCCCTGTTGATTATATGGCTTCCAAGGCCTTGGCAACTTGAGCTTAAATATATTCTGACGAAGGTAGCACCTGCAAGACAACGTCAGTAGTTATTGAGCTTAAATTGAAGTTACACAAAATGAAACATACAACATTGTTACGCAAAATCTTGAATTCAGCCCGTATTTGTAATTTAGATACAGGAAATGATATGGCTGATTATCGAATGCGGGGTAAATATCTGCTAGCCTGAGTAGGTTCAAACGAACATGACACTTGAGTGCGGGGGTCGCTTGCAACTTGAAAATACCATTTCGGAAGCTTATCATTGCCTTAATTTAGACCAATCGCTTAACCTCTTTTCTAGCCAAGGAGTTTCCCCGCTTTAATCTAGTAGGAAAATAAGCAGCTAGCGTAAACCTAAGGAGAGCAGGCTGGATAGACTGGCATGGACGGGATGCACGATTTAAGCCGCCAGTGCCCTTCTAGTCGAAGCTCGATGTTATATCTGAACTGTTACTAAGAATTTGCGGATCCCTCCAAGAACAACTCCTAATTTTGGCCAATATCCGCCATGGATATTGAGATCGCGGTTTCCGGAGAGAAGGGGAAGATATGGAATGCCGATGATGCACAGCTACTTGCTATGGGGAAGAAACCGGAATTGCAGCGGGTATACAACACTTGGACACGTAAATATCATCTTATCCTATAAACATGCGATGAAGCTAAACCTTCCAGTCTGTGCCTACCAGGTTATGATATCGGCCAGTTGGTCATGCCTCATTGTCTTGTATTCGACTATCTTTGATGTCGGTGGACCGGCTGGTTTGATATGGGCAACGTAAGTCATGGGTATTGCTATAATTAACATTTCACCGAGAGGCTAAATTCAATATTCAGTCTGATCGTGTCTGTCGGCCAAACACTGCTTATGACTTCATTGGCTGAGTATTGCAGCATTTGGCCGACCGCCGGTGGACAGCAATACTATACCCAAGCTCTTGCAACCGGTAGATCAAGGCCGTTCCTATCATATTTAGTCGGGTGGGCCATCATGGTCGGCGAAATATCGACGGGATCTAGCTGTGCGCTTAATAGTGCTCAGATAATTGCATCATTTGTTCAAATCGCCCACCCCAATGTAGAGTGGAAGGTACGTTGAGAGTTTATCGACATTCTTTTCTTTCCTTTTCTGCAATTCTAACCTAGGATTTGAAGTCCTGGATGACCTGGTTACTTTACAGTGGACTTCTCATTGGTCCGGTAATTACGAACTTAAACCAAAGGTAAAGCTTTGTCGTATTTCAAGTCCCTTTTATACTTGGAGATTGCACCTTATAAGCTGCAAATTCGCATGAGCTGATTGACTTAAATTTTAGGTGGCTTCCGGGCGTTAATTTATTTGGTGCAATTTGGGTTGTTGGTGGCGGAGTCGCATGGGCCATCGTCTTCATAGTGATGGCGCCTAAACACGATGCAAAGATCATTTTCACCGAGTTTCTCAACAATACGGGCTACGAAAATACAGGGTGGGTATTCATAATGTCGTTCTACAATTCTATTTACGGATTGGTTGGGACAGATGGGATGATGCATCTCGTGAGTTGTACAAGAAGAAGCACATAATATATCCCTTGAATTGAAATTGACGGGTAATAGGTAGAAGAGATGAAAAATCCAGCCAGAAATGCACCAGTTCGTTCCAAATACACCTCTGGCTACTGAGCGACGCTAATTATCAATAGCGGAGCATGATCTATTCAATGATTCTTTGCGGGATTATGAGTTGGCTAGCAGCTGTTCTAATGATTTGGACTGCGGGTGACTGGACCACCTACATGCCATGTGAGAACGTCATGATATCATGAAAAGTAATTCAAACTAATTCTAGCAGCACCGCAGCCGTATATGAGCTGGTGGATTGGTGTGACTGGGTCACAATATGGCGGTGGTCTCTTCTGTGCACTTGTGATGATTGGCATCAACTTCTTCGTCATTGTCGGCACGAACAGTGCCGGGTCAAGAATTGTGTGGAGCATGGCCCGCGACAAGGCATTCCCATACTCCGAATATCTAGCTCAGGTTAGCCCGAGACTCGGTATTCCATTGCGTGCCATTGGATTTGTGGTGGTGGTCGATCTAATTCTTGGTATGTTCAATTCTATTCGTCAATTATATCCCAAGATGCGATTTTACTTTGAATTGATACTGAGCCTCAAAACCATTTAGGTCTTATCGTACTTGGAAGTGACCTTGCTTTTCAATCCATCATTTCCGGCGGTGGCCTGATGTTGCAGGTTAGCTATTTAGTGCCTGTGCTCATCGTATGTATTTCAAATTTTGTGCGACGTTTGAAGTTATCAATAACATTCGGTTGCATAGGTTCTTGTTCGGGGAGAAAGATTCTACCCCCACGTCCTAGTTTCGACCTGGGAAAATGGGGCTATGCGATAAACATTTTCAGTGTGGGTTGGTCTTTATTAATCTGTGCGGTATACCTGTGCCCCCTCTACGTACCGGTCACGATCCCCACCATAGATTACATGAATTGGAGCTGCTTGATTGTAGGCGCGACTCTTCTATTTCCGGGACTTTATTGGGTTTTTGGCGCTCGATTTCGATATATCAAAGAACAAAACTCCGTTATGGAAGACAATGTTGTCATCATCGATGGCGTTGTTGTAGGTGGGCTGGAAGCTATCAGAAGAAGAAGTGAAGGGGCTGAGGTTGCTACCGTTAAGGGATGATTGATTTATTTAAATTCGATTATGGATCTGAAAGCATTAAGTCCATATGGGTGAGTGGTACAAGTAAGGCCTGGAGGTCACAGTTTTTACAATCACCAAATTATAAACTCTTTGTTAAGCTTCGCTTCTTGCCTAAATTTTATCCAGCAATCTGCCCGAGCGGACCCAGTACGAGCTTTGAGCCACCATTCCTTCAAAAACTCAAGCATTCGTGGCCTATCCAAAGGACAAACCAATTTGATCAGGCCATGAAACCGAGACTCTACCCACATCTGTCTATCCTTATTCCCCACACACTCGGTTCCGGCAATAAAAAGTGGCCAGGGTTGATTCTGGGCAAAAGATAAAGGACTAGAAAGCGATTGAAGGGCCTCGAAAAGACACTCGCAATCACTTTCTATGACTTTTTCATCTCCATGCGATGGACCAATGACCCGGTAACCAAATATGATAATGGCATAAAACCACGCATCAACCACATGCACCACGTCCGCAAGCTTCTCTTTCGCCAGGCTCAAGTTGCTCTTGTCCAGCATGGAAAGTATTTCTTGTCTAATACATGCGGCTTGAATCTCTAACTCGGCAACATCCATTGGTCTATTCGGATTACCTGCAGAAGAAGCATTTGCGGACCAAGGTGTCAGTAGGATTATTCGGTGCATCAGCTTAACAAATCCAATAAAAGGATCAGTTTTGTCATTCAACGGTGGTATCACGATTTCCTCGTCCATGTCGATGCTCAACGTGAGACGTGGCCAAATTGTAGCGCAATAAAATTCCGATAAGAGGAAATCATTGCATGCATCAGGCTCTTGGAGAGAAACTTGTTTTTGGCTATACCCGTGTGTTAGAGCTTGTGCTGTTCTAAGATGCAGTTTCCATAATGAATCTGAAGGGAAATGCATCTCGAGATGCCAAAGAAGCAATGTTGCTGCAAGCGACTCTCTGAAACGTTGAGAATGCCCTTCCATGGTTTCTTCTTTGTAGGAGCGACGGGCGAGACTCAGGTGGTGCGTCAAGAGAAACACTGTTTTTTGGCGATAGGTCTGCGATATCTTGAAAGATAATAACTTGTAGGGACTGTCCGACTGAAAGCTGACGTGCAAGTTTGCTGCCGCAAGGGCAAGCACAGCGTAAAACACACAAGGCGATCTTACTGCGAGGGGACATATGAATTCCCGCCACGGGTTCTGGTTATTGTCTACCCAGACTAGCTGAGATGCAATGGAATTTGCAAAGTGATGAAACAGGTGAGATCTTGCCATCGGCTTCTGATACAGTGCCGAAAGGTCGCTTGGTTGAAACGGTAAAGAGATCTCACTTTCGCTCACGCTGATCGACGCTATGGAATGCCGATGTTTCTTGGTAATCGATTTTCCACCTGATTTATCAAGGATCAGATTGCCATGGCCTATATCTGGCCTTTTCAGTAATCCATCCTGCCGAGGCTTCGCGACGGGTTTCGCTCGCTTCTGGGAGGCTCCGAGGATGAACTTGATCCTTCTAGAATAGCCTGGGCATTCAAGAGATCTACTCGCACACTTGAGGCAAGTAGGAAAATTCCTGTCGCATTTAATACGGCGAGATCTGCACTTCTGGCAGTCTTTAAGTAATCAATATTAGCATCTTGGACGAGCGGTCAACTCTTCAACCCATCAGGGGATGTTGACAGTGTCAGTTCCTACAAAATGTGAAACTGACCTTTCTCCGGTGCTGTCATAGTTCCTTGATTTTCTGCTGTCTAGAATCAGCAAAAATAAGACATTCGTCGATTCGCATGTAACTTGAAGGGAATGTTCGCTTGGGGGCGGGGAAGTCGAGGGCCGAAACTGGTCATATTGGAGCGCGTAATTTGCGTACTGGCCAGGAATAAACTTTCGCCTCAACTTTCCATTTTTCCTCTTTTTTTTCTAAACGCATCTTGAGCCAATAATTACTACTAGTACTTTACTGTTTGTGAATAATTTTTCAATTCGAAATATTAACAAATCAATGCTAAGTGGACGAAAATCAAAAATCTGCACCTGCATAAGATAACAATTACTGTGGCTTGACTGACTAGCAATGGCTGGCATTTGCTCTCATAGACATAAAACTTTCACATATTCACAGTCTCTTCATCCTCCACACCAAATAAAACGCGCATGGGATCTTGGTATTTATGAAATCCAACACTGGGGGCACTGATTCCATATCCGAGCAGTCTCTGAACCTGGGCTGAAAATCTTTTTGCCTTTTCAGGTGGCACAGCAAGCATTTGGTTCTCTGCCGGTCTGTACATTCCCTTGACCATAAACATTCCAATAACTTCTCGAATTTGATCACTTAAGGACGATTTGTTAGTGGCATGCGTCAAAAAGGTGCAAATTTTCAGTGAGCATACATTGATTTGTTTGCGCCGCCTCCATGATAAACATTCCCGGTAAATATCAGGACATCCCCAACATCAAGTTCCGCTGGAATTGCTTCTTCTTTCTTTGGAATGCGCTCAGGGCTCCATTTATGAGACCCCGGTATTATCAAAGTTGCACCATTTTCATAGGTAGACTTCGTCACTGCCAGCAAGCAACCCATCATAATATCTTCTGTATGGTCTCTCGGGTGGTAATCACTAATATGAATCCATCAGTCAAGGTCTCGAAGTTATTCGGAATTCTCCGAGATGTTCTGAGAATCACCTATCATCCTTGTGTAAATCCTGGGCACGCGATCCCGGATGGATTTGGAACCCCACGGTGGAGGAAATTATGGGTTTGGTCGTCCATTTCTCTAGGGTTTCCCCATGCCACCCGCAAAAGGTGCTGGTGAGGATTGCGTTGCAGACATCAATCCACAATTTATTCGTCGCATACTCCACGCATGCGTCTGAAATTCCAATCAATCCTGTAGCCCGTCGCGTGGTTTTTGGAAAGAATCCAGAAGGGTCGGGGATATCCGCATCGAATACTGGCTTAAGTTCCGCCCGTATCCTATCCGTATGTTCTTTCGGGAAAAGGCCCTTTATAATAACACCGCCATCTCTTTTCACTATCTCGACAACTCTTCCAGGGGTTGTGTCTGTGTCGCTTGCATTAAGCCTGGTAACTTTTGGAACATTCTTCTGGGCCGTCATTGTTATATCACTGGAATGGAATTATTAGATTATCTTTGAAGTCGGGAATGAAATTATGTGTTTTGTATCGTGCTATCAGCCTTGGATTTATAGTTCAAGGTGTGTTACTTCTCAACTTCATTTCTTTGGGTCTACCATCTGTCCAGGCTGCTTCTCGGTTTTCTTGCCATCTTAGGAATGTCTAAGAGTGAGAGACACTTTTTAGATTGGGAATTCCGAACCTATGAGGGGAAGCCATACTATTCAATAGAAGTCAAATTGTGTACTACTCAATGAGGCTTGAATCTCAAAGGTCTTTCCTAAAATAATCTAGCAGACTATATATGATCTACTCCGCATTGGCTGTATTGACTCCAAGTGTTACCGATCCGAACTCCGTGAGGTATTATCGAAGATAAGGGTATAGCTTCCTAATTCAATATTGGTTATCATCCTTCCAAGTATGGTTTAGTTCTCTGATTCCTTGCCCCATCGGGAAAGGCGCTATCTGCCCCCGCTTTCTTTGCTGAACCTTACCCCCGACTTTTAAATACATGATTGGCCTTTTCTGATTTGAAAATATCTTCAGTCGGAAGGTGAATACGCCGAAGATAATGCAAAATTACAAGCGTGGAAACGAAGCGGGGCCGAACAGCAACCCATTATACCATAAAAAGGCGTTGCAAGTATTCTAATACCTTGTCGTCTACTCAAAGTAAAAGTCCAGTCTCAATTATTTTACCCTTTTACTTATAAAATTGTACAATAGTACTAGCAATGAAGCCGGCTTTTCCAATTCGGTGCCCATATGCATTTACTAACCAGTACTATGAAGACCATCAAAGTCTGTGATAATTTCCGAGAAATATAGTAGCTTCAAATATACACGTTACCGTGGCTCCTAAATAAACTACCCTGCAATTTATTCAAAATTGTCGTCTTTCCTTTTCATGGGAGCCCGACGTTCAAAATGATATTTAGTATAAAAGACAACCACTCCAGAGCTGTCCACTTGAACGGGGTTGTCAGCCATGTCAACGTAGAGGCCGTTCTCTCGGTTGATGACATCTCTCTTGCAGGTAAAAAATCTCAATTTAAATAATGCCAATTTTATTGAATTGGGTCAAAATGTCTGACTCGGTGAGGAATGAAGCAGAGTATTAATATTCCCATCAAAAAATTCCAACTGTGTATCACAGAATTCAAGACTTCGTGAGAGTTTTGAGTCGGGAAAAAATAGCATGCGAGCTCTATGAATGAAACAACAAAATCCTCTCTCTGGTACTGAAAAATGATATAGGAACGCGATGATGCCCTTAAAAAAGGCCATGTCCACTGTCACGCCTGTCTAAGGATACTAACATGCCCCGATCGCATCTTATGCGCTAAGGCCTTAAGGCCGTAAGGCCGTAAGGCCCCACTTATAGTTACGTCCGTAGCATGAAGTCAGCAATTCCCCCACCGCATACATACATCAACCTTGTCATCAACAGTACTTTTTGTAGCAAGGCGCATCTTATTGACCAATCAACATGTCAATTCCTTTCTCATTTTTGGTCCTTTTCTCCATGGCCACAGAACTAGCGCTGAGCTGTCAGCTGTGCGCGCGCTAATGCACTTAGCCTGCGGCTGAGTTGACATTTCTTTGTTCGAACAATTCCGGGCGCTTTTATCCCGCATAATTGTACCTAGCTCGAGATGCAGACAGAGATGAGTCAAATACGCCCGTATTCCGGTGTCTTTTGTGCTTTCAACCTTGAAGTGTCGTGCCTCAGGCGTTCAGGCAGTCATCCCGTGCCTTCCCTTCTACACTTTTACACTTCTGCACTTCTAGATAACTTCCCTCTTCTCCCTCATCTCTCTCTCTTCCATCGCCCCTCTCTTTCATCCCATATCCCCCGTAAGTTCTGGTTCTCGCATTCAAAATGAAGGATTTCAGTCCCGAGAACAACCTGCTCCCTCACATCATCGACTATTACGCCCAAGAAGACCCAGACAGAGGCTACGCAGAGTACCCACGGTCACCCAATACATACGATGATGGCTTTACCCAAGTGACATACCGTTCGTTTGCTAATGTCATTAATGGCATCGCATGGTGGCTCACAAACAATCTTGGTCCCGGAGATGGCGAAACATTGGCCTACGTTGGAACCAACGACATTCGGTATCCCGCTCTGGTTATCGGGGCTATCAAAGCAGGATATCGTATATTCCTGGTCTCTCCTCGCAATAGCATGCCGGCCTACAAATCTCTCTTCGAAAGTACGGAGTGCACACGAATTCTCACCCAGTCCCCTCGCCTACCACCGGTCATAGCGATCATTGACGGACTCTCGATGCAAGCGATAGATATTCCAGGCGTTGATGAACTGTTGTGGAACGTACACCCGCATTTCGAATATTCCAAGACCTACCCCGAACATCGAAATGACACTATGGCTATTGTTCACACCTCGGGCTCCACTGGCATTCCGAAGCCCATCATCTGGCCGCTAGAAGTAGCGAACCAACACATTCGAATGTCAAGCTTGCAACCCCCTAGGGGATCGGGTACCCTGGCAGAGATGTTCATAGGAAGCAAAATGTTTTTGACTCTCCCGCCGTTCCATGCGGCTGGGATCGGAATCATGATTTTCCTCGCAGTCCCGTCTAAGCTCACATTTGTGGTTCCAATTTCAGCATCTCTTCCTACGTCTACTTCGTTCATAGAGGCAGCAAAACATACCGATCTCAACTCGGCTGTTTTGCCCCCATTCATTCTCAATGACCTGGCCCATGATGAGGAAATGCTTGAATTCTGCAGTCAGCATTTAGAGCTCCTCCTGTATGGCGGCGGTGATCTCCCCCAGCCAATTGGCGAAAAAATTGCGAAAAAGATCAGGCTAGCCAATATGTACGGGGCCTCAGAGCTCGGGATTGTCAATGTACTGTTTTCTCACTCCAATCGTGATCATACCAAAGATTGGAAATACATCTCACCCCACCCAAACTTGGGCGGGGAGTTTCACCATGTGATGGATGATAAGTACGAACTAGTACTCGTGCGAAGTGAGGAGCGTGAAAAGCACCAGATGCCATTTGGCATCTTTCCAGAATTAACAGAGTACCCAACACGAGATCTTTTCATGCGTCACCCAGATCCGACCAAATCTGACCTCTGGCGCTGGTGTGCCCGTCGCGACGACGTGATCGTTTTCCTCAACGGTGAAAAAACCAACCCGGTCTCAATGGAGCAACACATAACCGCGTCAAACAAAAACGTCACAGGCGTGTTGGTCGCAGGCGCTCAACGCTTCCAGGCATCCCTCATAGTCGAGTACGGTGATAAGCCGCTGGATCCGAGTGAGCGGGCGAAAATCATCGAGAAGCTCTGGCCCTCCATTCAAGAGGCCAATGCTGTTTGCCCTGCACATGCGCAAATTTCTAGAAGTCATGTTCTATTCACAGTCCCAGAGAAACCAATGTCTCGTGCCGGAAAAGGAACAATTCAACGTTCTGCTACTCTGGCTTTGTACGAGTCCGAACTGGATACGCTGTATGCTGATGCAGATTCATTCGTGGCGGTGCCTTCGGGCTTGGATCATTTTTTCCGTGACAACTTTGGCCATAATGTTCACAGAATAGCTGACAGTATCCGTTCAATCATGCATTCTGTGTTTGGATTGCCTGAAGATCAACTGAGCGACACGACTAACTTTTTTCATCTTGGGTTCGACTCCTTTATGACTATGACGGCAGCTCGGTGCTTCGCAAGTGGTTTCCGGCTTTCGAATTTCACGCCGAATTTGATTTATCTGAATCCCACGGTCATTACTCTCGCTGAAGCGACTTCCCAATTGATGCAAAATAATAAGAAATCGGAAGAGCTTGCCAATGCAGAAAGACTGCAAGAACGACAAGCTTTGCTGAAGAAAATGATCGATCTTATTGAGCCGAAAACAAATTTGAAGGCTCCTCAGTTACAGACAGTTCTGCTAACTGGTTCAACTGGGACGCTCGGTGCCTACCTCCTTGATGCGCTTCTTAAGGATCCGACAGTCGGCCACGTTCATTGCCTCAACCGAAGAAAAAACAGCCAATCTGTGCAACAGGAGAAGAGTCAATTCTACAATCTCAACTCTTCATTCGACTCCGACCGAGTCAGCTTTTGGCAGGTCGATTTATCCCGAAATAATCTCGGATTGGACACCGAAACCTTCACCAAACTACAGAACACAGCGACAACTGTAGTCCACAATGCCTGGAATGTCAACTTCAATCTGTCCCTCGCGTCATTTGAACCCGATTTGCTGGGTGTTGCAAATTTGATCAATTTCACAGCATCCTCCAAAACTGTACCAAATCTCTTCTTCATCTCTTCCGTGGGTTCCGTCCTTGGGAATCCTGGTGACACGTCGGAGACGCTTGTGACGACTTCCCAACCATCTGTGAACGGATATGGAGAAAGCAAATACATAGCTGAGCATATGATATCGCATGCCACAAAGCAACGTACCATGAGAGCATCAATTGCTCGCGTTGGCCAAATTGCCGGAGCTGCGAATGAACCAGGACTCTGGAACAAAAATGAATGGTTCCCTAGCCTAATCATGAGCTCTCATCAGGTTAAAGCCATACCGGAGGACCTCGGTGCTCTTGGTAAGATTGATTGGGTACCTATTGACCTCCTAGCGGATGTACTCGTTGATCTTGCGCTCAATGAACCTTCGACCCCAGGCTCAGTGGAATTCTTCCACCCATTTAACGTTAACCCAATGACCTGGGAAGAAATTGCGCCCATCGTCTCGCGTGTACTCGTTGATTTTGCGCACAATCAACCTTCGACCCCAGACTCAGTGAAAATTTCCTACCCATCGAAAGTTCCTCCAATGACCTGGGGAAGGTGCGACCCCATCGTCCCGGAGGCCCTCATTTTGCCAAGCGGGAAGCCTTTTGAGACCATTCCTCTTTCCGATTGGATAAAGCGCGTACGAATGAATATGGAAGCTGCTTGTCGTGGAGACGGGGCTTCGGACGAAATGCTACGGAAGAATTTGGAAAAGAACCCAGCCGCGAAGCTCTTGGACTTTTTCGAGGCACTCGTTTTGACCCGATGGCCCGTTTCGCTTGGTAGTGGAAATACTGCTCTCAAGAGTCACAAGCTTCGTGCCATAGATGGTATCAAGGAAGAATGGATTCACAAATGGATCAGGGAATGGATGGTGTAAGCCGCTGAGCTGATTAGCTTCTGGTCTACTTGCTTCTTTTTATCAATCCGTGCCATTTCGGCTTCTAATTTATCTTTATCTTTTACTTTTTTCGCTTACAGACGTAATCTAGAGGAAATCAAGGAAGATGCTACTCAAGAATGAAAGGCTCTCCCTTGCGCGAATTATGAAACGTAATAAAATATGATCGTATCCTGCAGGTGTACCAATATATCCGATGGTCTATGACTCAGCTTTCTCAGACTCAACCCTGGAGTACATATCACTCCAATCAATGAGGCTATTTTTCGTTACATCTACTCCTCACAATAACTGAAAATTCAATCTCAAACCTTAAGCTTGTTCCTATGACGAGTCCCTGTCGAACCCGAAAGAGCCCGAGGGGTAATCGATGCAACCATAGCAAGTAAATGGTTACTTGACACAGTCCTTAAACTAATAATAGAATAGATGGAATCATGACAGGTCCGATGTTGCATTTGCCACCGAAATAAGGTTTGGTCGAGATATCATGACTTGGTCCTGACAGAAAGGGTAACGGAAAATTCAACCGCGGCGACATTCTCAATTTTCGCATGATAGAATCTAGTTTTGAGAAATACGAGACGTTTATGCGGCGAACTTTTTGTGATTAGAATTATATTAGGTTTGATATAAACCGATCTAAAACAACTGTCCGGAACGCCTGCCTTGGCGATCTTCTGCTAGAAACATCTGAACTGGTACATCCGGGTGTTCTGAAACAACCACTTCATGGACAGCAGCCATAAAATGATTGTCAGAAACACTCAATTGAACAAATAAAGAGAACATTCGAAGGGCCAAGGACAAAAAAAATCAAACCCATTGAAAAACAAAAGTATTAGAGGCGATCTGCTTATGCGAGCAGAGCCAGACCGTAGGCAACAGAGCCCAGGGCAGCACCGGCCATGGGGACGGAGACCTTAGCACCGGGGTTGGAGGGAGTGAAGCCGGTGGAGCTGGGAGAGGCAGGGGTGTGGCCAGCGCCGGAGGAGCCAGCGCCAGAGCCGGAGCTAGAGCCGGAGCTAGAGCCAGAGCCACCTCCGACATTACCACCGCCGCCGACAACGTTGCCGGAGCTGGTGGGGTGGGTGGCGGGGACAGTCGAGGAGGCAGCGGTGGAGGTCACAACGGTGCCGTTGTTGCTGGAGTGGACATTACCAGTCTGGATTGGGTGGGTACCAGTCTGGACACCGGTGGCGGCGGCAGAGATAGAGCCCTCCTTCTTGTGGATGGGAGGCTCGGCCTGCTTGTTGGAAGTGGCCTGGACGCCAGCGGCGATAGCCAGGATAGCAACGGGGGCGGAGAAGTGCATTTTGATAGATTGAGTAGAAGCGATTGAATCAAGAGAAGTGACTTCTTGTCTGAACGAATGATAAGGCTGAACGAGATAGTCAGTATCAAAGCAAGTATTGCAAGTCTGAGATATTGAAAAGCTTACCTAGGATGATATGCGATGGAAGATCTGAGGAGTGGAACAAACCAAGCTTCGGGGCGACCAGGAGCCCATTCTTATAGAGACTGGGGGCATCCAAATGCGGCCTGTTGTAATAGTCCAAAAATGAATGATGACATGCAACATCAGGGAAGAGAGAAAATTTTTCTGCTGTTCCTCTTCATAATTGCCTGTGCCTCTCTGCCCTTGACTCGAGCCTTAGGACGAGAGTGGAACGAGACGAAATTGGGATGTTGGGGTTTCCGCATCCGGGGGTGGGGAGCTCGATGTCACTCTGGGGTGGGGCACAGGGAGGTTTGCTCGGCCGGAGATCCAAGCTCAACTCCAGAACGATGGTTCGACCGAAGTCCGAGTTCATCGCGCGTTTTCGCCGCCGGCGATAGATATCACGTGACATGTATTCCCAAATAGGAAATTCGAGGTCGCATGCGGAAGGGCGTGAAGATCCTCGCTCATCGCCAGGTGTGCGAGGGCACGGCGCCAATGGGGGATTCCTGATCGATCGTCGGTCGCTGGTTTGAACAATGGCATTTTTTGACTGTAGAATCCGTTCTCTATCGATCTGTTCTCGGAGGCGCCACTGACGGTTGTTCTTGAGATAGGGATCACCCAAGAATGCACGATCACCCTGGCACGATTGGTGGGGGTTATTCATCTAGATGAGGACAGTTTCCAGCTACCCAGGTAGAACTATTGACTGAAGAAGGCAAAAACTGCAGTGGGATCCTCCTCAATGTGAACTTGGAGCCATCACAGACATATGGGATGTACAGTAGAAGCAGCTGGGCATCAAAATCGGATCATTGTCCTGTGGTGATTTCGACCCAGGTCATTTGATCAGGGCTGGCAATAGAGCCTGGGTAGCTTTTTTTCTCAGGTAAGATCGCAGGAAATAGTATAGAATCGACACTGGAGTGGTCAAGATTTCTGCCTCTATTCCTCCGTATACAGCAGGCCCACGGTGGCTTTTTTCCTGAGGTTTATTGGACGGATCATTCTCCGCGGACGCATCACTGTTTGGCACTGGCTGAATCTTGTAGCAGATAATCACCGCATGCGTCTATCGTTGCCCGCAGAAATCCTTTGCATCGTGGGAAAGAAGCAATGCCAAGGAGAAGTGACAGCTGCAGGGTTGCTCGCGCGTCGCGCAGGAATGTTGAGGCGTCGACCCCAGATTGAGGATCGTCGCTCATCCCGACAAATGCGTGAAAGCAAAACGAGGACGGAAATATTTTCCCGTTTCAGGGAACAGATCTATAGATATTGACGCTTCTGTTCCCAGATACTCGCAGATCGAGTATCGCTCGTTGGGGGATGCTTGCAAGCATCAGATGGAGGTAGCTTCCTTGACCACGGCAGATTGACAGATCAACAACTGTTCAAGGCCGGAACTTCTAGATTATGCAGCGGTCGCATCAGCTTTGGTCACTCAATATCTTGTCTTGAAGCGTCAAGGCGTATAGGTACAGCCTTGTAATTGCACATGGCACATGGGATATGGCACCTGGGTGGTTGAGTGCTGAGTAGACGATAGCAGTACCTGCTATTCGTATTCAAATAAAAAATATCAAGAAATCTGCCAGATAATTTGGGTCAGATTGAGTTCACAATGCCCAAGGTTGATAGTGAGAGCGAGGTAACTACTAGTCAGTAGGTTGAAGTTGAAGTTGAAGTTGAAGTTGAGTCTTGGCGGGTCTTGGGAGTTTGGGAGTTTCCCCGGCCGCCCGCGCAGATCTTCCTTTTTTGCCGTTGCGGCTTCAGCTTCACTTTGCTTCTTCATCTTCATCAACTTTGAGATCGCGGCAAGCCATGCCAAAACCCCACGCCCTACTCTCTCCATCCCATTATGACAACGATGCCGCATCCCTGCGGTCGCCGTCGGAGCAGGACTCCGACTCCGAGGATGACGAGTTCCTCCGCCATCCCCGCAGCACCCTCGAACTAAACAGTCACGATCGCGCTGTTCTCGAAGATGAAGATGAGTTAGAAAAGCTCTTGACACGTCGAGGCCCCGCCCATGGAATACGGAGGATGTTCAGTCCTGGTCCCAGTGGGAACAGCGTGCGGATTGGAGGAGAGAGCGACGGCGGGCACGCAAAGAGGCCCGCCTATCGCGTCGGGAGAGAGTCAGCGAGGAGGGCGAACTGATGTATGAAATGGAAGAGGGAATTGGAGATGATACAGACTCCCTAGCCAGTGGATCTTCGTGGGATCTGGACGAAAAGGAGGACCCTCTATATCAACCGGTAAATAAATATAGACCACAAACACACCCTTGTCTTTCTCGGCTTTCACTTGAGCTAACAACAGCCCTACCTATCTAGCCATCGCGTCCACACTGGCTCAAACTTGCATTAGCCTCTGCCGTCATAACCATTCTGTTCTTCATTCTTCTCCTCGGCGCATACAAAGCTTCGAGCGGCTTCCGAGCTTCACACCCGCATCGAAACCCGCCACCCCTGGTTTCCAACGGCACTGCTCTATTCGCGCCCACAACCATTCTAGTCTCCCTGGATGGATTCCGAGCAGACTTTCTCGATCGCGGCATTACCCCATCTCTCAACTCGCTCGTTGCCGCCGGCGTTTCCCCGCAATACATGAACCCCAGCTTCCCCAGCGTCACCTTCCCGAATCACTTCACACTGGTCACCGGCCTGTACCCCGAGAGTCATGGAATTGTGGGAAATACCTTTTGGGACCCGGAGCTCCAGGAGGAATTTTATTACACCCACCCGGCCGTTAGCATGCTGCCCAAATGGTGGAATGCAGAGCCGCTGTGGGAGACGGCCGAGAAGCAAGGAACCAGAACTGCTATCCACATGTGGCCAGGCTCTGAGGCTCACATTGGAAGCGAAGAGCCGAGTTACGTGGATAAATTCAATAGCACGGAAGCTTTATCGCGCAAGGTGAACCGGGTCCTAGAGCTCTTGGATCTCCCGGGCGCCGAGACCTCGCATCTCAACCCGGAACGACCTCAATTCATCGCAGCCTATGTCCCCGACGTCGATAGAGATGGTCACAAATTTGGACCGAACAGCACCGAAATCCGAGCCACAATCTCCCGCGCGGATACAATGATCGGCGGCTTAATGGCTGGTCTAGAAAGTCGCAATCTCACAAACGTGGTCAATATTGTTGTCGTTTCAGATCATGGCATGGCCACCACTTCTACTGAGCGATTGGTCCAGTTGGAAGATCTTGTCGATTTGGATCTCGTCGAGCGCCTTGATGGGTGGCCATCGCGCGGTATACGCCCCAAGCGAGCAGAGGACCTACCGACTCTGCAAAAGCAGCTCGAGGAAGCCGCACCAAAGTATGCGCATGCTGTGGAGATTTACACCCATGAAACAATGCCGGAGCGTTACCACTTTACTCACAACGCTCGAATCGCGCCTTTATGGGTGATCCCCAAGACCGGTTGGGCGATCGTCGAACGGCCGGAGTTTGATGCGAAGAAGGCCCTGGAAAAGGGCGACGTGTACCACCCCAATGGTATCCACGGCTATGATCACGAGCACCCATTGATGCGAGCTATCTTCATTGCACGCGGTCCAGCCTTCCCGCATCAACCTAACAGCCGCGTTGAGCCTTTCCGTAAGTCCCTCGCCCATTTGTCTTTGTCAAAACAGAACATGAAAACTAACCTATTCCAGAAAATATCGAAGTGTACAACATCATGTGTGACTCACTAGGCATTGAACCCATCCCAAACAATGGCACACTCCGTCTACCGCTGAAGCCAGTTGGTCTCCATTCCGACGAGGATGCACCGATCATCGAAACCCCATCTGATCCGCCCGAGCCCGAAGTGACCAACACCACCACCAGCAACACCAATCCGACCGCAACAACCGCCGAAACTCCCGAACCGACGAGCGCAGCTTCTGACGCGCCACCAACTTCCAATCCACAGAGCGACGACGAGAAGGCGCCAACGTGGTGGGGAACGTTGTGGCATAAATTCGGCAACAAGTTCAGCGATTTTAAGGAGTGGTCGAAGGAGTTGTTTGATGCTGAGCACGACAATCACCCGGATGGAGAGTCGGAGTCAAACTCGGAGTCGAAGTCAGAGTCATGAGGGATTGGGGTTGGGTTGGATGTTAGCATTTTGCATTGCATTTTGATTGAGGTTGCTCTGGTTGAGCAGCTATTTCTGAGAGATACCCATGTTTATAATACATATTACATACTACATTACTAGTACACTAACAACTGCGTACAATATTTTCCAAGATCGAGGTGTTCAAGTTCAAGTTTCAAATTGCCGGTTGCGGACTTCTAACCTTGAAAGACCCCTTGATACATGCCCGCCTGCAGGTGCCCAGGTACACTGAGTCTCCAGGGCTGGAGCCAGTAGATTTTATAAATACTACTACCTACTCTACTAGTAGTGCAGTATTTAGCAAAATACTGTCGCAATTCTGTATTTGACAAAATGCCGTGACCGTTGGCAGTACCCAATTGTCTCGAAGCTGAAGATATATCTTATTAGTCCTGGTGAAACTTGAAGCATTTTTTGGAACTCACGTCAGCACCACCTGGCATCAGGGCTACTAGTAGGTGGTCACTAATTAGGGGAATATCATACACTTGGCATGATGACTCGGAAATTGACTATTGAAGCAGATATAGTAAATTATATCAAGTAGGGTAGTAAACACGGCTTTCCTTGCTGATCCTAATTCTAGATCATATAGCCAAAAATGGCGTCTCTGATATCAACCACCCCAAGTGGTCGAGCAGTAACTCGACTATTTCATCTTCCTTGGTCTAGTGGTCATGATTTCCGCTTGTCATTAACACCGATAAGCGCGGGAGACCGGGGTTCGATTCCCCGAAGGGAGAGTTCTTTTTGCTTATAACAGTTGCTTCTATTATCTTTTTAATATTATTTCAAGCTGTCAAATTAATTTAATTTTTTACTTTGAAAAGTTGGAGTTTGCCATGCTCCCAACCGTGCTGACTATTTCACTTCTTACCGACTCCAAACAAGGGATCGCCTGTGACAACAAACCTGTCATTCCGGTGATTCCTCTGGAGCGCAGCGTCGGAATCTCCGCGACCGAGAGTCCATAGGTAAGACTGAAATTGCACCTGCGATGAGAAGGTTTTCTCGAGTAGCTTCAAGTCAAACGGATTTTCTTCGTTCCTTGATAATTCCAATGCGGCGGTCACACCTCGTTGTATTTGCCAGCCGTTCATCCCTTTGGTAGTTTTCCAGGAACGCCATCCAGAGGCGACGGCTTGAATTCCTTCTCGAACAACTCCATCGTGCGACGCTGCCAGACTAAGGAGAATCTTGATCTGAGAATTTTGATCCAGCGGCGGAAGATTGATTGCCAATGCCGTGCGAGTAATAAGATTCATATTCACGGCTCCAATTCGATCCGTGATCAGAAATACGAGACCGTGATGTCTTTCAAGGATTTGAATAATCGATAAGACGTTTGCGTGTTGTGGCGAGTCATGCTTGGTCTCTTCTTCGGACAAAAGCTCGACATTCTCCAGAGAGACTAGGGCATTCCAATGGCTGGCCATTTTCAGGATAGCCCTCACTCTCCTTGGCCCGTCCTGGCCCGTCTTGAAGATATCGGCCATGGAGATACTGATCAGGGGCCGCCGGGTGTACTCTGCGGCCAACTTGACTGTGAATGTCTTGCCAACGCCTGGCCCTCCGTGAAGCATGACCAGAGCAGACTCCTCGGAGATGGGCATCGAGTCTCGATATCTACCAATCATTCCACGAAGTATGTATTTCGAATCGTCCTGAAGGAGAATGCCTTCGAAGACTTCTTCGTCATTCCGCGGGAACTGGACATCTTGGATTTCTAGCACATCGATTTCCCCTGGTAACAGTCAGTAAAATAACCTCAGAATAATCAAACCTAAAGTCAGAATGCAACGTACTCCAGGTGTTGTCAGTTAAATCGTAGCCCGAGATGGTAGGGGGGCATGTAAGTGCCACGAATGGCTTTATATTGGAATCTAAAATCGTCCTTAGCTCGACATCCAGTTTCGAAAGATCATGATTCCCCGAGGGCCGAAGAGTTTGATCAATGACGACACGTTCAGGCTGCTACAAAGGGTGAGCTTCAGATACTCTGCATTTGGTGGTAATTTTGCATACTTCGCTTGACATATGTTCCATGAAATGAACAGCACTACCTAGCTTCCAATAGCGCCGACCCCGCCGAATCAGCTGCATGCGATGCTGATTTTCGTCCGCCAGATAGCCAGCAGGTATGTAACTCAGATCAACAATGTCGACATCGCGAGCAAAGAAGGGAATTCGGAAGTCGTGAAATCGCCTGACAAAAGTTTTGCCATTATGGTCGACAGCCCAAACCCGAAGAATAAGTGGCCCATATGTCCCAAATGGCCCCGGTCCATCCCAGAAAGCTCGGACACAACAAATGCTCGTAGGACTTTACCTTTCCAGCAATAAATTGTGGAATTGACCTGGTAGAGCAAGGGAAGCTGGGTAAACCGGATAGTTTTGCATCTGCGCTCTTGGATTTCGACAAATTTATGCGAAACTGGCATCAAGTATTCCTCCGTGATGGCGTTGGAAAGCTTTTTTGACTTCTGGGATTGAACGGCATATGAAAGAGTACCCAATGTCAACGCATTGTCTGTTCCTGCAAGTTGAGTGGTATGGGAAAGCGATGCTGTGAGCAACACTTTGACAAGTAACGTGGACTGTTGGACCAAAGTGTTTAACGCTTCGATAATAAAGTCGCGCTCCTCCACACCATCTGCGGTTTTCTGGGAAGCTAGACTGTCGATGCTGTCAATGACGATGAATACACATGGTACCTGGGCATTTTGAAGAGAATCAACCAAAACCTTCCATAATACGCGAATATTGCTCGCACTCTCTCGGTCAAGGGAATCAGAAGCGCCCGACCAAAGATCAGCACGCTGCTTGAATAGCTGAGTGAGCAAGGACTGAATTAGTGCTGGATAGTTACTGGGGCTGGTCCCGTGGCTATCACCGCAGAAATGTCGCAGCACAATACTCGTCGCAAAGTGATTCTCCCCTAATAGCAAAATCGGCGCAACAAATGAGGCGCTGAATGTCTCTCGACGAAGAGAGTTGTTCCCGTCCACCCACAGAAGCTGCGAAGATTGTGCTTCAACCCAATCCATGACATGGTCCACTTTCAGTATGTTGCGCTTTGTGGAACGATATTGATGCATCTCCGGGCGTTGTTCTTCTATTTTCAATTTCTGCGTCCGGGTATCCTCGAGCCTATTGAGATCAGTAAATAGCATGGCCAAACTGTCTTCCATGCTGTGAGGCTCAGGCGAGGATTTAGAATCCCTGGCTGTTTCCACAGGTGTACCGTCCACACCGTGTTCCTCCATTTTAGCATCGACCCGCTGTTGAAAAAGGTGACAAGTCTCTTCAAAATCGCTCGTCTTGGAAAACCGAATCGTGTTTTCTGTCATGAAGTCCAGAATTTGCGAGACTTTTGTGAGGACCGTTTGACCAGTAAAATGGGTCGAAAAGTGAATGATATCGCGCACTTCGCTGTAGACCTGGTCTATGGACTGAACGATAGGTTCCAGTTGGGTCCACGGCTTTGTAAACGCTTTAAAGGCATTCTCTAGATATCATCAGCGAACGTTTGCTAAAACATTGTTTTCGCTTACTGATGCGACTCCTGCAATAAAATTTCAAAGCCTTGGCGACGAATCGTTGGAAGCAGTCATAGAATCTCCCAAGCGCTTGGACCAATTGCTCCGTTGGGTTATAGCTTGTGAGGTGGTCCATGATCTCGAATTTCGTTTTGATGATCTCCATATTTTCTTTTACCTTCTCCTTCAACTCCGCATGGTTGATCTGGGCTACTAGAAGTAACTTGACAGCACCATATACCAATCCAACATACTCTGGGGCTTGACCGACAAATACATCCATGATCTGTGTATACGGGTATGCCACCTCGCTAACTTTCTGGCAGCCATTCTTAATGCGCCCTAGCATGCCTTGTCGTGATTTGTCTGGGTATCGACTGTCGTAGGCGTTTTGCGCTTGCTGGACAATCATTAAAAGATTATTACGACTTTCTTCATAAGAGCGCATCTCTTCGGGTGAAGCCATTCTCAGAAACTCTATTAATCGGCGATCCAGTTTTGTTTTTGAAGTTTGGACAATTTGCCTTGTCTGTCAGTTATGAACATGTTCAACGAAAATTCTTCAAAAACTCACTGCTTTAATACATCTGCAGACCAAGCGGGCTCATCCAGAGCCCCATTTTCGACTGACTTGCTGCTCGACATTTCCTCCACGTCATCATAATTGGGCGATTGATTGGCGTCAGTGGCATTATGCATGATTTATCACTGGAAACAAATGTTGCTGACCTCAAATTCAAACGACCAAATTGCATTCAACAATCCGAATCGATCGAATAAAAAGACATGTACCGCGATTAAAGAAGTGTGTGAAGGGTCTTTTGAATCCTACTCTCCTTAGTGTTGAAGTCGGGCCGCACCGTTAAGTCAGCAACTAGCGTGGCAGTAAGTAATTGGATGGGGTTTTTTGAGGCGCAGGGCAGTAACTGAGTTGGTAATAGTACATCGAATATCACCAGCCACAGATGGGAAAGCGGGGCTGGCCAAGATAACCCATCCTCGTATACGAATAACTGGGGCCCACCCTGGTCAGGCTTTGTTCATCCACGAATATCTGGATTGAACCAGGCGATCTGGAAGCAGGGAAACATAAATATTCCACAATTCCTCAGCTTGTGGCGAAAAACAAAGCCCAGAGTTAGTTAAGGTGACTGGTAGAATTGTATATCTGCCATTGGTCATCCTGCCATAGTTTCTCGTTTCAACAATTTGTGAATTTGGTCTGTCATAAATTCGGGATTTCATCGGCATCTTTCCTTTAATATCTTTCTGCGGAGAAACTTGATATAAAGCCATAAGATTAAAATGGCTATAAATGTTCGCACAAATGATAGTCACCCAGTGATGGACTGATTATTCCTCAGTCAATCTAATATTACGATAAAAATATTGGTCTTAAATGCTCGAGTGGGAAATAATAGAATTGAGTTAGAAAGAATTATTGTAGGCTCGCTTTATTGATCTGGCTCAAATAATCACGCCTGGGACGAGAGGTGTCGTGTTATTAATATATGACCCTGAGGCGTGGCTTGCTGGTCCGAGGGGGCTAGTGCGTTCTGGGGTCCTAGAAGGCGACTATGAGTCAAAAATGAATCAAATTTAATAGACAGTAAAAAATCGAATAACAGATATCGTTACAGAAAAAAATTCATGGCAAAATATTGAACTCTGTTTAAAGTAGAAGATGAATTCACATGCATTCCAATGCTTGTTAGTAATTCGTGGCTTATTATTTACAATATCATCTATATGAAAATGCAATCCGAAGCGGGCCAAGACTTGCAATATTGACCTTAGAATACTATTATGACCGAGGGCTATACTCCTGGAAAAGACATACAATAAATATAACAGATTGGGAGTTGTAAATTCATGCCACTAGTATCCTGAATTCCGAATGGTACTTGGAAAATTTCACAATCCCGATTAGTCATACGCTAAACTTGGAATGCTCCGCTGCCAAGCATTCCCTGACGATTGACATTGAGGAATAACGGGCTTCAAGATTAGTAGCCTCTTGAATTGTTTCATGGTACTCCGTAGCGGAGTTTCTGAAATTAAGTTTCACGCCAAGTATCTCCTTCTACTAAGGATAACTTTTGCTACAACACGTACCCCAATGCTTCTCACTTTGTGTTTTACGCACAAGAGTCTGGATAGATATTTCCCGAAGTCATGTTGTATTTTGCACATATTGAGAACCGACTATTGGTGTTAACCTGTACCTCGATCTCGGCCTGATTGATGTTGAGACCTGTGAGCCTCTGCCAGATGCCTGGCTTACTATTTGGGTATGTAGCTCTTCAAGTCTCTCTTTCCGGATTGCGCTAGTACCGGCAACTAATAATTTCTAGGCTTGCAATGCCACTGGCACCTACTCTGGCTACACCGGAATTAACCCGGATACCGTGTCTGTCCTGGATGGATGGAGCACCAGGGAGGATGGAACCACCGACGACGAGACCTTCTTGCGAGGAACTTCCAAGACCAACGAGGCCGGAATTGCTGAGTTTCTCACTATCTTCCCCGGTTACTACGATAGCCGAACCACCCACATTCATGTGACTGTGCAGTTCAATGTGACCGGTGATGATACTAGCTACTCTGATGCCGCTATTCAGCACATTGGTCAGCTCTCTTTCCCTGAAGAATTGATCAACTCTGTATACAAGTTGGCTCCTACCACGTCCACCACTTGTCAACTCTGAACAGAACTCTGAACTCCGAAGACTCGGTGTACAAGGTTGCTATGGCCGACGGATACTCCGCTATGATTTCCACGGAACTTCTAGGCGAGACTCTTGCTGATGGTCTGATTGGATATATCACCATTGGTGTCAACAAGAGTGCTGCCGCTATTGCTACCACTGGCACTCAAGTCAATGTCCAGGGCTATCTTCCCACTGTCTCATTGGCCAGTGGTGCCCAGGCTGCGGCCAACACCAACGATCTTGCTCAGGGATACCGTGCAAATGGCATGAAGAAGGTTTAAGGCTAAAACGCCCTTTAGCAGAGATTCGCTCGAGGCAAGATGAAACGGGCTTATCGGTCCTGAACTAACATTTGCAATAATATTCCTAAGAAACTTATGGAACGTATGATGCAAAGTGATTAAGTATTCCGGAAATCCAGATATGATTGTATGAGTCAAGCCTCCACATTTTTTGCTTCTTAACTCGCCAATCGGGGTAGATCTGCATGCTGTATGTATTTTTTGAACTGTCACTAGCTTCAGATGGAAGAATTCATAGATAAGCAGCCTTGACAAAACAAATTTCCATAGCTTTGTAATCTAACTTAGAACTACAAACATCAAGAGATATTAATAAACAAAATAAGTTGTTCGTATGGTGACGAAGATTTCTCAATGAGAAGCCTCAGTTAGCCGTGAGAGATAGCGAATAATAAGCCAAAAGATATAGTATTCGCGACGCAAAAAGTCGGCAAGCAAGACCGCTAGGGTGGGGATCATCCGAATCCATGAAAAAATCATCAAATAATCCCATAGTAGAACCGAGACAAATCCATACACGCCGAATAGTGGATTGAGAAACGTAGGTGACCTGTTTAGCCGAGAGAAAATGACTGAGAATTCCCCGGAAAGTGCCCAACTATGGGTCAAACGCTCGCGTTCGTAGCAATGCGAGGTACGGTTCTATCCAGCATTCTGATGTAAGGCCTTGGCATGGACAGATAGCAAATTCCCCTGGCCATTTGCAATACCGGTGATATAGACCGTTTTCAAGATTATGAAATTCCCGAAGTGGATGCAGCTTGAAACACGCAGCACAGTATTTCCAGGTCGAAGTCTCTAGATTGATTAGAACTCTTTTTGAGCCACCAAAGGCGTAGACGGGATCGCAACATAATGAGGGAGCGAAAGTTCCGGGCTCCTGCAAACATCCCTATACTTTAGATAAAACTTTCTGTAAATCAAAGCTAGATAAGCTTGTGAGTAAGTTGAAAGATAAGAGAAAATTAAGTCTAGGAGTTCTGTGGGAAGATCAAGAATAGACACCGAATTCTTCACTGGTATAGGGTTGCCCAAGGTGTTATTTTCCATCAAGGGCCTTTTCACCAGATCCTTTTGGCTCGTGGCTCGATATTTGAGCAATGAGGTGCATGCTCTTGCCCGTATCCAGAAGGAGGCACCAAGGCGATTTCCCATATTGTTCCAAGTTCAAGTTAGATTAATTGAGGAGCCGAGGGGGGAAGCCGCTTGACAGTCTTGGGAGAGTAAAGCTGAGAACAGGCAGACGAACAACGCGAGGAAGGAAACGCAAGCAATCTTCTAAGGGTTGGGAGGAAAAAATATATGTCATTATGATTTCTTGAATGCCCCGTGCTAGAAATCGCGGCAGGGAGGTTAGGTTCTGGCTCCTTTAGATCTGGGTGTGGATACTATTGACTGCTTTCAATGATCTCAATGAGTTAATCTTAAAGATTAGTATGCCATTCATAACCTTGGAAAGATATTGGTCGTGACCCGTAGTTATGTTTCACTTGGAATTAATTTTTTTTTAGTCATCTGACTCAGAGGACTCGCTTTCAGATTCATCCTCAGGGAGTTCGCAAGTTAAGGCATCGACGAACAACTCCTGATGTTCATCCTGATCCGTCTCCTTCGTTGCCAAATCCCATGCAGTGTGACCATCATTGTTCCGCAAGCTCAAATCAAGATCAGCTTTACGTACCTCCATGATGGTCTCTTGATCAGTCATTCCAATTTCAACATCTACTGCTAAATGCAATGGGGTGTTGCCGTTGTTATCCGTTGCGGTGAAATCAGCCAGACCACTCAGTCTGAGAAGACGGATTCCTGTGGCATACAGACTCATTGCCGCCATATGGAGTGTGGTATAACCGTTGTTGTCTTTCAAATTAGGATCGGAGCCAGCATCAAGTAGCATCTTGAAAACATCCCTTGCATGATAAAAGCTTGAACTGCATGCCATATGAAGGGGGATTTGGCCAAATTGATCTTTGGACATCGGATCGGCCCCTTTCTCAAGTAGAAGTCTGACTGTTCCTTTACAATTCTGGAATGCTGCTTGATGTAGCATAGTACGACCAAGCGCGTCTTTCGAATCCACCCTAGATCCTCTTTCGAGGAACCAGCCCACCACGCGTTGACAGGTGTGAGGCTCCCGCTCTCCCCCATAGCAACATGTACAGCCGCCGTGGGGCCATCTCCCCTGAGATAATGTAATGAGCCAGTCTCCGGTATTGACGATTTGCGGTGGCAGGAGGGGAAGATTTCTTGTTTCGTGACCATACTCCAGCACTCGAAAAATTGGATCGATACCATTAGAGTCGATACAGTCAATGCTGGCACCCTCATTTAATAGAAGCTCCACCACATCGTGCCCGCCAAACTTCAAAGCCCATTGAAGCGGAGCCCAACCATGGCGATCCCTGGTATGTACCGAGGCACCCCGGGTGATAAGCATACGAACCATACACTCGCTCTTTCGCATCACGGCTAGGTGGAGCGGCAAATCACCGCATGGATCCATGAAGCTTGGATTTGCTCCATGCTTTAGCAATAAATGCAAGACTTCAATAGCACCCAGGAATGCAGCAATACATAGTGGTGTACAGCAAACCCGGTGGGTAAATCCATCCGGAGGATCTCTTCTGTCATGATGTCGACTTTCCTTTATCATCTCTTGAAACTCCTCAAGTGGTATAGGTTTTGGCGAGTTGCCATTCGCATCCAGACCATTAGGATCGACCCCGTGCTTCAATAATAACTCCACGTCGATGTCTCTACCTAGAGAAGCGGCAATCCATAATGGCATAAACCCGTACCGATCCCGCCGATAAGGGTCTGCACCACGTTTTAGCAAAGTACCGGTGACATTTTCATAATCTTTCGGGAGAATCGAGAAGGAACGTCCAGGACCCCTCCGACTTCTGTTTAGAATATGAATGGGCGCATCGCCATGGTCGTCAATGAAGTTAGGATCGAATCCACAATCCAAAAGTGCGTTTACAGCACGCAATTTCCCATATGCAGAAGCAATATGCAACGCAGAGGTACCATGTTGGTCAAGGTTATAAATATTAACACCGCAATTAATGACCAGAAATTTGATTATTTCTCCGCCATTGCTAAGAGCCGCGCTGTGGATTGCTTTGTCGCCATCGGCGCATACGCCATTCACGTCCGCTCCGTGATTGATAAGAACCTTCACCGAATCAATTTGGCCAGCTTCGATCGCTTCGCCAAATGCATTCTGGTAATACGGTTGCATGTTTTCACAAAATCTGTCTGCGTGTTTGCCAAGACACGTAATAGTCTCGGGATGTCCATTGCGTGCTGCAATTTTCAAGGGCTCTTGGAGCCTAGTCGTCACCGTATGCAAGCCATCAAATGCACCCAAGTCGAAAAGAATTTGAACAGTTCCTGTACGCCCGCGTTCCGCAGCCCATCTGAGTATACTGTCCTCCGTAGCAGAAGACAGGTAGAGATGTCGGGTTAGCGTTTTGTAACAACGCCGATTTGTTTGAGCCAAGGCGTTGATATTCTTCAGCGAGCTCACATGATCTGCGATCGTTAGGATGATTTCGTCTGGTAATCTAGATAGGCTCATATTGACGGGGAGGCAGAATCACAAATGTTCCGAAAACCATCAACTTGAATTTCAGCTTAAATTTCGGCTAGAATAATGAGTCATTTTAGCGCAGAGGCTGAGTTTGTGGGAAGAGCATGGGATGTTTTGGGGGCCGAAGCACCGCCAAGATAATAAATAGGTCATGTTTTTCAGTAAAAAGTAGGGGAAATCCAGCAATATTAATCCTTACTAAGTGTGTCTTAACACATACGACCCATAGGGTGTGGAGAACAGGCCTTCCCGTCCGCTCAGCCGTACTTAAGCCACATACTAATCAGGGTCAATGACCAAAGAGCCCCGGATCTTAAATTAACGTCAGTTTCTGTATTAGGGTGAATGTAGGTGATATGTGTAAGAATTCTGGAGACTGGGGCGAGAGAGATAAGAACAGGATAAGAGCGGGTGAGAACAGGGTGAGAGGAGTGAGAATACCCACTGCAATGCGTTGCGTTCCCATTCTGCTTGGGCCAAGAAGGGAAAGAACCGGATGAGAGATTTCAGCAATGGCTGGTCAAGTCTACAGTAGAATTCGAAAACAGATTACCCACCCTGAGCATGCCCATTATCTATCTACTCTCGTCGAGGGAAAGACGAGGCGACTTGCGACACTTTGACGAAACCTTGTCCCCATGGCGCTTACTGGCGAGAGTCATGTGGGGCCTTTCCTAGGACGAATATGGGGGCCAGTTCTCATTCTTCAGGCCCTTAGCCTAATTCCTACTCAGGGCCCCAATCGGGCCGTTCTGATAATTCTAACACTCTGGACCAGAGGCTACTTCCTTATTGGGCTTGGCGCAGTCCTCGCAGCCTATCTGCGAGGCCTCACCTACTTCTTTCGTCTCTTCTTCACACTTAGTGTCGCGTATTCAATGCACTTGTTCCTTACAACCTGGCCTCCATTACAAGAATCATGCGACCGATTGTAGATACTATTTATGTGAGAGACCGTTCTTCCTAAGCTCACGACAGCTTGACTTTATTTGCAAGACCCCAATGTACGCCCTACAACGCTTACTCTACGTGTTGTGATATGAGGCTAGTGCAGATCAGGAGCCAAGCCGAGCCATCAGAATTAATCACGAGATATCTATGTGAAGAACCAAATTGATTGGAAATCAACTTGTTTTTCTCGTTATATATATAGACTGATGTTTCTCTCTAAATAACAACAGAAGATATACCTCTGAATTACGAGACTACGGATTCCCCGACCCAGCTCCGCAGATACGCAGCAAGCCCGTCGAGGTGCTTTGCTTGGCCTTACCACGCACCGGAAGCGAGTCATTAAGCGTGGAATTGCGAGCTCTGGGCCTGCCAACATATCATGACTGGAACTTGGTCTTCGAGCCAGATGGCAGAAAGTTGCAACTCTGTACTCGCGATGGCGACGTGTGGATCACCAGCGTGGAGTTCGACATCCTTATCGATGATAACCAGGCTCTGTTGATTCCTTGTCTATTTATTAGCTCCTGAGCTTCTCACCGTTTATCCAGACGTGAACCTTGGAAAGTGATCCTCAACGGCGTCCCGGTTTAAGGAAATTATTTGTGAGAATCGAATCTGTGCGCTCGGAGATTGCGCAATTCCGGCAATCTTCCGTTGCTCACCGGGGTTTATGGAGTATCAGTGGGAAATACATAAGATCGTCCCGAAGACCCACCCGTGATGATGTTGATTATATTATCATCACACTTGACAACTTTGTATCCCTGGCAAGCAAATTGAAGCCCAGCATTTATTTGAGGCATGATTGGCTTAAAGTCTATACCTATGCTCTGATTTTGTTGAGCTTCTAATCCAACAAAATGCTAACCTCGGTACCGATGGCCTGTTTTCTTGTATTTTGAATTATTTAAACCACCCTGGCTACCCTGCCTTACAACCTGGAAATCACGCTATCCTCGGTTTCAAAGTCAATTAATGATCGCTCATTCAAGGGTAATCTACTCCATATCCCAAAGCTGTGACAAAACCAGTTGCTTACCCTGATGGTGCTAATAGAATGTTGAATAGGATGACTAATTACAAGATGTTTAATATGACTGAATTTCACCACTCTACATGGAATGTCATTTTTATCACAGCAGCAGCTATTTTAATCAGCTACATTACTATAGTCACAAGACTGAGATACCACCGCAGGGCAAAAATTGAGGCTCCATTTGGGCCTGGTAAGAGGAAATTGTCTAGTATGACCGTCAAAGAGGCACATTCAATTATTACCGAATTGCAAGAGCTTGAATTTCCTTACGCTTTTTCCAAGGCCCGGAAAATTGCCCTACTCAAGGTACGAAAGAGAAAAATAAACGCTAATTTAGGTCTCGCTAATCTGGTGTTTGCAACAACAGGCCGGAGGCATCCCAACTATGTCTAAGCTTTTTGCGGTCACAGGACAGAATAATAAAAGAAATGCGGGGAAAAGATCAGTCGATACCGAGATTCTCCTTACGCGAGTCTCAATCTCAGCCCAGAGATTCTGATCGCTATATGACAGCCGTCGCCAGAATGAATTACCTGTACGCAAAAGTCCTATCCAACTACGCGGGCTCCATTGATGCTGGTTGGGTAACATATTAAGCTTTCGATGCTCTTGCTGATTTTTAATATGACTAGTCATGACCGTTATAGACGTGCAAACAAGATAACTGATCAAGACCTCCTTCACACCTTGGGCGATGGCCTCGCTGAGATCCTCAACGTCATTGAAAGAGAGGAATGGCGCAACCTAACAGATGTTGAGAAATGTGCTCTTGGTATTTTCCATAAAAATCTTGGAATGGATATGGGAATACCTTTCGATCCACTCCCTTCACAAGCCGAAGGTTGGAAAGATGGTCTGCACTTCGGGCTGGAGTTACAAGAGTGGACTGTTGGCTATGAAGAAGAGGTTGCAAAACCCACAGCGACAAATGACCAGTATGTCAGGGTTTACGTTGACTCGGCATTATCATCACTCCCTAGCTTCGCGAGAAGCCTTGTACGACAAATGCTGGGTGCCGATCTGGATAATGTGATGCGAACTAGCCTCTGGTAAGAACCGCTCTTGATATCAGCATTTCAAACGGAGATATAATACAGTTACTAATAAAGAAAACCCAGTATTGAGTCCCCCAGTTTACCCTTCTCTCTAGTGCTCTCCGTTATCCGAAACCTGCGCAAATTATTGTTACGAAACCTGACCCTTCCTCGATCTGACTCGGCTGCTGTCAAATTGGTGCATGGGATACCAAATCCAGAAACAAACCTGTATAATTTTGAAAGAAAGGGACTTCAGCCATGGTATATAAAACCAACATTCTGGTCCAAATGGGGCCCAGGCTCGTTCATGGTCAGAGTCTTTGGGGGAAAGGTTCCAGGCTCACGCGGCGATCGTTACCAGCCACGGGGTTACGATTTAATGACCATCGGACCGGATCCACAGAAAGGGAGGGGAATAGAAGAGATGAAATCTGATATTGAGGCAATCAGAGCGAGAGGTGTAGCTACCTGTCCCTTTTCGCAAGCAAAAACAGGCGGCTTGAAGGGAGACTTCTGAGCAGTGAGATTGTATGTATATTCACGTGGAAAGGAATGATGATGCAGGATCTTCCAAATGATGCTCCAGTTATCGGATACACAAACATTTTATGGACCTTAGGTGCTGATGTGGCCAGAATTTTGTTATGCCATATCCTGAAACACCTCAAGAAAAGAGGCGGCGCGATTATTCATTTGGAGAAGCGAAGGATGTTAGAATTGAATTCGACTTATGTTTCCAAGGCAGAGAATGACCTTCAAAAACTGCCCATGGCCATGGCAGCCAAGAGGCTCCTATAAAAGTTTTAAAATTGGCTGAATGGCTGGTACTATTGAAGCATGCGCTACAAGGGTTGTGACTAGGGCAAGTGGCAAATGTGCCATGAAGCCCGTATTGTCTAATTGAAATATTCCAAATTTGTTATTCAAATTTACATCATAAATTTTTTCTTGAGCTACAGATTCCGAGATAAAAATTTGCTGTATTGTATATGGGATATGGCTCTATGGACGATGCACTGTGTTATGCAATGAAAGAATGTTGAGGAATAAATTCTTAAATGTTGGGCGTTGAGTTGCCGAGGTTGCGATGATTACAAAATCAGCGAATAACCTGGACTTGCCACACACTTCAACACATTCGATCCAATCGATACTGCACGTTAAATAAGCAATGCAAAACCAAGGTGATCTGCAACAGCCTTGTCGGACCTTAACTGGGGGTGTTAAATCGTTTGAGTCCAACTCACAGTCCCACTCAGACATGAAGCTCCGCCGATCAAAACGAGTCGGGCGCCCTCGTCTTGACGACAGTGGCGAAGCCATCCTCTCCGAAGATCGTCGCCGTCAGGTCCGTCGTGCCCAGCACACATATCGACAGAAGAAGCAGGCTGTTTTCCGAGATGCGACCGCCAGAGCCGAACAGCTCGAAGCGAGACTGCGCCTTACCGTGAAAGAGGTCACCGGGTTGTCCGAGGTGGTCAGAGAGGCACAGTTGCACATATCACATCCTGATCTCTTTGAGCGCCTGGAACGTCTGAATGAAATTGTCGCTGGTGGCGACAATTCGATTCACGCGGACTCACCAGATCGATCAACTCTGGTTGGGTCCGATAGCCAGGTGCAAAGACTCAATACACAAGATCACTATCCCAGTCAATGCATACTTCACCCTCCTCTACCTGGAAAGAACTACACATATGCATTTCGAGAAGCCCGGTTTGCTCGCCGATTACAAAGATACAGTCTTGAGTACGCGTATCGTCTTTTCACAGAGGCTCGGACTGATCCGCGAGAGATCTACCGTGTGTTCCGGCTTGTCCCCTGCGTGCAAGATCGGACTAAAACCCAGCCACGTTTCCTGCAGCTGTTGAAAGGTGGATGTATGGATTCTCTTGAGATTCCAAGTCTGCCATTTTACAATATTGGCGGCGCGGGCGCGCATTTTCCGGACCTCGACGAGAACGGGAACGCTATGTACCCGCCGAATAGTCGAACTCCACGGCGGGTTTTAGGTATATTTCCGCAGTATAATCTTACATCAACAGGAGCCGATGAGTCTTTGGAGACTTATGGGCTTGGAGGGGACTGGTTTGATAGCCGTGATGTCGAGGGCTATCTGAGACGTCATGGCGTGGACGTAGACAGTGGCTTGTTCCCTATGGCATACCTCTCTGATGTAGCAGAAAGAAGTGCCAATGACCGGCCATATATCTTGGACATGGAAGGGTTCTTTGCTCGTGAGTGCTCAATCATTCGCGATGGTTCACATGCTTATAGGTTCAGGTCTCCTCGCTGGACTCATTATACTCGGTCGCGCCCCGGGGTTCAGAAAGACGGAAGTTAGGCGTGCGTTACAAGCATCAATAAAGAGGCTTGAGATGAACTAGTAGGGAAGATATATGTCTTGTATTTCGACTTTTACCTCAGTGTCGATGCTGATTACAATATCCTGGAAATGGCCGACTGGGTATACGGCGGCAATACATTGGCCATAGCAGTCAGCGCTGCCTACTCGACAGTTGCAGCAGGAGCTCAACTTTATTCTATAAGCGGCCACTTCGTGCGCCCGGCCAGCCAATCTAACAAGCTCATCTGTCGTGTCGAGCGCGTCCGAGACTCGCGGATGTTCAAAACTCGACACCTTCGCGTGCTGCAGTCCGAGGGGAATTCCGAACAACTTTGCCTCATCGCCACAGCAGACTTCCACATAGACGAATGAGATGAAATGGTTATTTATTCTGCTCATCCGCAAGTTGAAGTCCCGTGTTCTTCAGAGGAAACGGAGGTAGAGAAAACTCTAGAATCAGGACTTTACAAGAACCTGGATAAATTCATTGAGGTTTGCCCACACAGTGCAGAAAAGAGCGGGAAGCAAGCCCCAGATCTTGTATCCGTTGATCGATTCCGGATCCATGGGCCTTTGTATACCGAGGCCGACCAAATTACTGCCCTTGCGTTCTACATGGACCGTGGCTTAACCTACATTCCAGCCAATAATGCCGGTTTTAGCTTGTTTCAGGCCAGTGCTTGTGCAACTTTCGACTCTGCGTTGCGGATCCCAACGCATGGGGTTGGTTTGCGGACCTGGCATATCAGCGAAAGACAGACATGTGGTGCGGGAAATGCGAGGGCACTGAGTGAAGGAAGGGTCTTCGATGCGAAGGGCCATTTACTGGCCAGTGTGACACAGAAAACTATTTTATGACCGAAGGGGGCTTCGAAGATTTGATTGTCTCATTTCACCTGACATTCTCTGAGACGACGGAAGATGCTCGAAAGACACTGTGTTGCATTACTCACCACGACGGTGCCCTGATCCATTTACCTGTATGTCAGTTGTCTAATAAGTCTTCGCTCAAAAATATTATCATGACAAAGTTTCCGGTCTGAAAGAATTCTAGCTGGTCTGATTGGATTCAGTTTTTCCGGTAAGCTCTTGAGCCAGCATTGCATTGACCTTGTGGCATTGTTTTGACCATTCGCCGAATCTGCCCTTTGGTCCTGCAGCGCAAGACAGATTGAATGACAAGATTCGCCCACTCCCACAAACCTTCAGCTGACTGAAGTATACCGGTCACGATTTCCTCTGAGAAGTCTGGAGAGCCCCGAAACAAGTTGGCCCTTTGTAGTTTCTGAGAGACGTATCTGTGGAGATCTTGCTTATTCTGGTCATAGGTGATTTCGATGTCTGTTACCCACTCTAGGGAGCGTTCTTCAAGGCTGCTGCACACTGAATCCCGACTCAGAAGTACCATTCGTACAGGTGGGGACTCTGTTATCTGGCTATCTGCTGTGTAGGACTTCTCGAGCAGACTAAGCAGCAATTCCTGCTATTCTGGATCTGCCTCATCGATCCCATCAATGATAAAGCACACTGAGACACCTGGTGCAGCCTCGGTGAAGAAATCCACCAAGAGCTTTCTCCATACTGCGTAGGTATCAGCTGGGTCCTCTTTTAGGCAGAAATCTTCCGCATATGGTGAAACTTGGTAGTTTTGTGGCTACATGCCAAGCGAGGGTCCAGAGACCTTTGTTCAAAGAGCACAGATCAACATTATTGTTCTTGAAAAAGAAGTGGGCGACAACAGGCGCATGTGGATTGACTTGCTTTGAGTTTGCGAGGTCAGTCATGATTTTGGATGCCAGATAGGACTTGCCGACGCCAGGACCGCCATGGAGCCATAGCAGAGGCTGAGAACTCTGCCACCAAGCCCGAATTCTGTCATCAATCCAGCGCCCTGACCCAAGTATCCGACTCTCATTGATTGCAGAGTGGACCTGGATAGATGCAGAAACGGGCTTCAATGCATCCTTCACTTTATTGAGCCTCTCCCGCTCATTTTTGTCGTCAGCCCTCTTGAGCAAATCCGTGGTGTTCTTTAATGCTTGAGTAGTGAGATTGAGATTCTGAGCAGAGACCATCTTATGTTCCAGGCTGGTTAACTCCTCCAGCTTACCCATAAGACCTCCTTGAAAATCTGCTCCATGACGTCCCCGCCCGACTAGTATACAATTTCGATGAATGAGGTTTTCAACCTGGTCAAGGGCGCACTCGAAACGTCGTTGGCGTAAAGTCATCTTGCCCTGACCTGCTAGAGGGAGAGAGGTGAAAATATCACTGCGGTCGAGTGTATTGCTGCTGATGGCTGGCTTATGGACCCACTCTTTATCTTTAAGGGCTCCGGCAAAAAATTTATGGAGGCCTGGTACTACGGCAGCGGAGACTAACTAGCGAAAGCAGCTATGTCTCCATATGGCTGGATTCCTGATGATTTAGCCCTTACCTGTCTAAGCTGCTTTATCGAGGCTATAGGTAATACAGATCGGCTAAAGCGTCGCGAAAGCGCTTTCTTATATTCGATGGTTATAGTGTGTATCTTACCCTCGAATTTCTATAGAAATGCGAGGTTAACTCTATTATACTATTCGTATTTCAACCGCATTTAACACATTTCTGTTGGCTACTTGACGGAAAGCCCTTTCTGAATTATAAACAGCAATTTCGGATGATGAACAATGATCTGGCTTTCTGGAGCGGCCTGCCGTATGGGGGATCAGATTTCCTCGCAATTATCGGGCCTATTCGTGAGAAAGCCTTAACGCAGCGAATTATTCGCGAATCCTTCAAGGATCGTGGAATTTAGCCGTTTGATGGAAGTAAAGTTGTTGAAAATCTTGCAAATCAATTAGAAATTCCTGATATAATCGCACCAGATAAACGGACATAGGGCCGGCATACACCATCACTATCACTATCACTACCACAAAAATCTCTCGTCTTCTATTATTGAAAACAGGTCTCTGAAATCTGTTGAAGCTCTCAAGAAGAACCAAGCGAAGATCACCAAGTACCTTGAGGATCTGTCAGGTAAGATGCAGCGAAATTCATCGCGGAGGAGCTTGCGATGACACAAGAATCGATTCGTCGCATTAGAGAAGCGCAGCTACCAGTACGTCGTAAATACACCAAGCGGCAGGTTGAACCTTTCAGCCAGACTAATATATTAAGCACACGCGATGCGAATCGGTCAATTACCGTCAGGAAGGCAGAAGAAAAGGCGAAGCAGGGGCGGAAGCTGGCCAAGCAGTTTGAGAAGGTTGATGGCTACGCGCCCCCACAGAGATCGGAGGGGAGTTTTCAACGGGCAATGCAGGCTGAGAGAGAGGGTAGAGAGGCAGGAGATAACTTTTTGTTGATAAATAGCTAATTCGTGGTGAAATTTACGATTTGGCTTCGAAAACTACAAAGAAACTGTTATTACGAAGAATGCATGGCGCACCCAAACCGCTGCCCGGTTTGGGTAGGCAGAAAGGCACAGATAGCATTTAGGCCTGGCCCGTTAAAGCCGCTAACAACTAGAAATGTTACCCTTGGTGCATTTTTAGTCTAGCTGTCTGATGCCTGATCCTCGGTAGGTGCCAACAAAGCAAAGTGACCCACATAATACCTAATCGGTGTTTAGCCTCAGCTTACCTTTCCTTCCTTTTTATCGGTCAGGCACTTCCCCAGTATTGCTCATGTTGACATCGCCGTACATCAGTTTCATGATGCCTGTAACTATGAGCACCCCTCCGGAAACCGATTTTCACTCGGTCTGGCAAGATGCTTGCGAGGATTACGCCAGACAAACCGGGATTGCCATCGGGGATGAGCGTTTTCCCAGAACGCAGGGACTTGAAGATCTATCCCGCCAGCTGGAGTATGAGAAGGACAACTTCGAGGATTTCCGGATGAAGAAACGGCCCCTATTCCATGCAATGCAAACTGTGCTGGTGCCATTTGAAGAATGGGGTGGATTGATTGCTGACGGCGTCGCTGTGGCGTTCCCACCAGCATCGTCAATTATGGGGGCGATGCTTCTTCTTGTCCGGGCGGCACGCAGAGTTAGCGATGCATTTGACGTGATTCTCGACCTTTTCCAAAACCTCGGGCACTTTGCCTTGCGACTAGAGTCATACAAGGGCATCGCTATGAGCAGCGGTATGAAAATGATCATTGTGAAAGTTTTGGTCAACTTCCTGAAAGTCTGCGCGGCGTCACATAATCTCTTGAACAAGGGCTCAGTCAAGGCAAGACTGTCTAAGTGGGGAAAGAATATCCTTGTTGAGGATTCATCCATCAAGGCTTTGCTGGATGACCTACAAGATCTAACCAGCGTGGAGCATATGATGGTCTCTGCCCACGGCCTCAATCTCACTCATCAAGCCCTGAAGAACACCCAAAAATTACTCGATCGAGACGAGCGGAAAACTGACGGTGAAAGGCTGGAGCGGATCAAAAGCGTCTTAGAGCCGGTACCTGCGTCTAGCCAGGTTTTATCGTCCGTCATACAGAACCGCTTACCGGGTTCTGGTTGCTGGGTCGAAGATAGGCTCCGATCATGGTGGCAGGGGCCCGAGCCGCTCCTCTGGATACACGGTGGCCCTGGTGTTGGCAAATCTCATTTGGCATCCAAAATTATCACTGATCTATCGAAGGAGTCACCTGCACCTACTGTGGCATGTTTCTTCTTCAAAAACAACGATGTCGACTTACGATCCTTAAATAAAGCCCTCCGAACACTTGCCTGGGAGGTGGCCACGCAGCAGCCTAGCTTTGCGGTCGAGGTCGAGCAATTCTGCTTAAAGGAAGAGCCAGGGAGTAACCATGCCCTATGGGCGAATCTATTCCTAAAGTACTTTACTCAGGGTTCCTCCGCCAACAAAACTTGCTTGATTATTGACGGAATCGACGAGGCTGAGCCACAGGAACAACAAATTCTCTTCAACTCTTTGAAAGAGGCCTTCTCGGAGGCACGCCTTGAAGTGCAGCCTGCTTCATTGCGAATCGTTTTGTTGAGCCGAGATTCAGTACGAAGTCTGCTCGAAGAGCATTCATTGGAGTGGGTCCCAGATATTGAAGTTGGTCATGTGCAAACCAAAGACGATCTTCACCAGTACGTTTCTCAGAAACTACGGAAGACCAAACTATTCCGAGGCTATCCAACCCTCCTTGAAGAAGTAATTCACGATATCAAACAGAAAGCCGAAGGCTTGTGGAGTGGGCTAATCTCGTCATCAAATCAGTCCTCCGTTGTCGCTCTAAAGAACAGATACGGAAGGTGATCGAAAAAATGCCTCAAGGTATCAGTGCTATGCTCCAACAAGAGCTGCAGCGCCTGGCTGCAGAATTATTCGGGCAGGATGAGTTATCTGATGGTGTGGTATCCGAGGGTGACAGTCCTGCTACACCAATAGCTCAGTTAAATGTGTTGCTCACTTTTGTTGCCTTGGCCCAGAAGCCTTTGACCATTGAGCAACTCAGTATTATCCTCAAGATTCTGCTCAAGGAGGAATATATGGGCCTCGAAGATGATCTTCGTACACTTTACTCTTCGTTGTTCTACGTCAGGCCGAGCAATGAACCAGACCCCCTTGAGGGTGAAGCAGTCGTTACACTCCGGCATGGTTCATTCTATGAGTTCTTCCTGACGGCTGGGAAATCTGGACCAATTCACGTCAACTTGGATCTGGCGGATGTGATGTTCTCATACGTCTGTCTCCACGCCCTGGATGAGAGCTGTGCACTTTTGTCAGAAAGATCCAGATTTGCTCTTATGCAATATGCTGAAGAGTTCTTGCCACTTCACCTAGGACGTTCTGACCCGGAGAAAGCTGGAGCCCTACAAGCAGACATCTCATACTTGCTTGTGGACGTGTTCAGCAGCGCGAAAGATGGAGAGTGGCTGATTACTCACGTGCACCTATTCGAGTGTGGAGCGTACGCTTCCTACCCAACGTGCTGGTTGTCGAATCTCGGTCGCTACTGGCTGGACGCTGGAGACCGTGCTACCGCAAATGAGCGAGCAGATCTTATACTCAACTGGTTACTTCCGGACGCGAAGCAGAAGTTCGTGTCTCATGCCCGGTCTGCGGCAATGACAAGCGATGCCTCCGCTTTTACTGTCCTTTGGTCCTTCAAGGTGGTGTACTGGACTCAGCGCTGGCTACAGCCAGAGGAAATTAATGTTGATGATGGGTTATCTGCTATTGTGCCTGCAATTTTGACGGTATACGATATTATGGCTAATGGATCAAAGGAATCCATTGCGGAAGAAGTCACATCAGCCCAGGAACCCTTGGAAGGAGGCATCATTGTGAAAGTGTCCGATGAGTTGATGAACTTCAATATGCCTGCTGGAATTATGGTGCCTGCGGAGCGACGTCAAGTTGAGCAGACACGTATGTGGCATACACGTGTGGCTCAGGCCCTGCTCGCGCGAAATTGTAGCGGGCACGCGATTGAGCATTTTCGAATTGCTCTCCGCGAAGACACGATCGGGCCAAAATTCACCACCCTATCGCTATATGTTATACAAAAAGACATGTCCCGTGCATATACAAAGCTCGCCATGCACAAGGAGGCCCTAGAACATCTCGAAATATCTGAAACTCTCCGCAATACCTTTAGGAAGGTTGACGACAGGCAGAATGATGGCACCACCCATGATCGTATCCGAGACATGCTTCACAAAGCGCAGAAGAAACACAATGCAAAGTTAACGGATGGCGCAATTGCGACAGCAGAGGAAGCCTGGAACCTCCTGTTATACACGCGAGATACCAACACTGATTACCTGATACGTCCGTTCTTCGAAATCTTCGTGGAGTTGAACCAATTTCATCATCTGCGGCCCGTGTTTGAATTTGCATACAGCTATTTCAAAGAGGCCGCGGAATCTGGAACTGCAACTGTATTCTCAGGGTTCGACAGCTTTATAGCGCACACTCTCACCCAGATACCACGTGTCATGTACAGAGTCCTCCATTGTGCCATCAATCAAACAGACCAAGAATATATCGATATCGCGACAAGAGCTCTTGCGAAAATCGACTTGGATGTTGCCAATGGGAGTCCCATGGAAGCCAAGTACCTTCTTTCAACTGCACTAGTTGAGAAAGGCTTCGTAGAGTCTGGAATACTGGGCTGGCACGACGTGGCTTCCCGTTCCACAGGGCCACTCGATCGGTGGGACAGGGCTGCCCAGATACTTTCTGTTTGCAAATTAGCTTCTCTGTGCCTAGAAGATGAGAGACCTATTTGTTGGAAGTGGCCTCAGTTAACATTGGATGGCAGCTTTGACTTCAGCGGCATCTCCTTACTTCTCTCCACGTGGTTCAGAAATCGTGGTGACTATGCAAGTGCCAGAGATACTCTCCGCTGGTGTGTGAAAGGGTGTCTTTCTTTGCTTACGGATGATGATCCTGCAAATGACACCGAGGCATACGTGGGACTCTTCAAGGTCTCTCTGCTTGCTACAGATAGCGACGCAGACCTCGAAGCAGCCTTGTACATGATAAAGCACGATACTGAACCGCGAATGCTGGTCTTCCATAATAGTGCTACCGCCTCGATCAAAGCCGACAGCGATTCGCAGATGGGTATTTTCGACGAACTTGGGACCTTGCATCTGACAGGGAATAAAATTGATTCTTTGGAAAGCGATAGCGATGATAGTTGGATAGACGATATCGCCTCTGTTGGCTTTGTGTCTGATCACTTGACTGAGTGTTCAAGCTGCAAGAGAGATATATCAAATCTGTATCACGGGTGGTTCTGTCGATCTTGTCCATTCTCTGCACTTTGCCAACGATGCTACAGGATATTGGAGTCGGACATTCTTCATCCATTTGCAGGTATTTGCAATCCTGAGCATCAGTTTTTCTTCACGGGCTCGCTTCTCCGTCCTTCTGAGCGTGTGCCCGAAGGGATGGTCCCTTTGATATCTTCTACAGGCGAGAAGCAGGACATTTGGGTTGAAGAGTGGAAAGACAGGCTTACAGAGAAGTGGGAGAGCACGGAATTTGCATTCCCCGATGATGGACTTTTGGCTTGGTGTATGCATGCTCTTCCTGAGCCGCAGAAGACACGGTGGGCTACGGTTTTCAAAGTGTAGCCGAGGAATGCGAATAACACTTAGGTTAGTACGAAATATTCTTTTCAAGTAAGTCTTCTGTGTCAGACATCTAAATTAAAAAGACCCCCCCCCCCCAATTGTAAACGATGTAAGGAGATTTCTGGATTTCTCAAGCTATCCATTCTGCTACCATTTGGGCCCGCAAATGTCGCAAAGAACTCATTCAATTCGCATCTTGCTTGGGTATCTCACTTGATGGTCTTGGCTACCTTCTTTCGAGGCACACAAGAATTTTGTCAGCGAAGGAGGCGGAAAGCGAATACGACAACTAAGAAAAATGGCATTCCTTGAATCAGGCCCCTGCTAAACTATGACTGGGCCAGAGGCTAACTACAGTACAGATTCTACTAAGAGAGTATAAGAAGCACGTTCCGCGGTTGGGTCATTGAACTCGCGCCTAAATTCGAACCAATTCTGCGAGGAGCTCAGGTACTCACAGAGATCAAGATACGTCGTAGCGCAGCAGGCAAAGGAAGTAGCAGCGTCCGACGAAATTAATTGCTTAAGGAGAATAAGAAGGAAGCTAAGATATAAGGCTAGATACACAGATGTAGGCGTGGATGCCTAGAGTGGTGCCGTAGGCATGAGGCATCTACGAATGGTAACAACACCAGTTCGTTACAAATTCAGAGCCTGTTGAGTATGAAAGTGTCCTATATGTCTCTAGTAAATCAGAATTGTGGTGCTCATCATGACATCAAAAATAAGTAGTACTAGTTTAGTCCCTACTGCGGCCACAGTTAGCTAGAGTGGTGGTCTTCGGTTGTGGGTCACCAAATGGGGAATAGCGAATAGCCCCGTATGTCACCTGACCTACAAAGAAAGCCTTCAGAATTACGGATGGAGAAGATAGTCCAGTCTTCACCCCAGTTTCTACTCCACGCTACTTTTCTTACCGCCCATCTCTAGTGGGTCTTATTCGATCGTTTTTAGTCTTGTGCTGTGTAGTGTAGCTGCGGCTATCACTACATCTACAAGGCCGAGGGAAAAGAATATGCTCTGGTCAATCGAAGGTAGTAAACCGTGGAGAAATATGGATGTTGAATATCAGATCTTTTCTGTATTTTCACAGTCGTTCATGAGTACTGTTGAGCAAGGCATTCAAGCCGATCGGTTATCCAGTGAAAGAGGAAGCACACTGGCACTAATGTAATATGAATAATTGATCTCTATATCTCTGAAGATAGGAGACTCGCAATACGAGTAAGGCTACAACGGTGTTGACGATGAATTTAATGGGATTCCCGAGGCAAGCTACAAGTTCTCTGATATTATACTCTGGGATCATGGTCTGGGCTGGCCTGATTTGTGTCGGTGACTTTCAATGGACACTTGACAATGAAGATGAACTTTCAAAGAGCCTTCGATGTACGTCACACTTTGTGGCTCATGTGCACTGGTCATTCAGTATTTATAGAAAACCTTCCAGAGCCCAAATGAGCTTAGTAGTGTGGGTACCATGGCTTTGGTATCTAGATTAGTCCTCGGCGGTGGATAAGCAAGTTTATTCTGCACTCAAAGGGCCCTCTACCCTTTTCAAAGAATAAGACTAGAATAATTCCTTCCAAGAAAACATTCTCTGTTCTCTTTACTTTACCAGATTTTCTAAGAACTGTTCCATTATCCCCGACAATGTCTAAATTATCTAACGATAGTCCTCCGCAATACGAATCAAACTATCAAAGCCAAGATAATATACTTATCACTGTCATTCAGAATGAAAAATCCTTCCGGGAATGGGCGCGAAAAATGGGGGATCTTGATCCTAGATTCGAGAAGTTTTTCGATAGCTCATTTGAAGGCGACTTGAGTTACCCAACAGGTTTGGAGTATGTACTTCAAGGGGGCCGACTACTTGATGAAATGACAGACTTATTCAAAGAGGCTACGAATATACTCGAGGAAAGAATAGCACACAGCCAGAACGAGCTCTATGATGCCATGAAAAAGCTTTCTGATACCGAGCTTGATCGTGTCTTTGCTTCTTCAAAGTTGGGCACAACATCGCATAGTCAACCTGAGCTGACTTGGAACCACAAGAACAATATAGACGGCCATGGAAACTTCAAATACAATTCATCGAGGGCACGGATGGTTTTCCACGCTATACAGGGGGTATGGAAACATCTCAAGGGCCGGCCAGTCTGAGACTCTTGGGATCTACAGTTTCCTGCGTGTCGCTTTTGTTTCTCTATGAGAGTCCTGATGAGGCACTACGAAGAGGGAAAAATAGCATATTGGTATTTGCTTCTGTGATATGTTTGTATCTTTCTTTATACCAATACCAAACCTCTACACTTTGTTATGTATTTCACCGTATTCTACAACAGCGAGAAAGAGGTTTGACGTTGTTCATTACTCATGACGAATTGCTCGTAGTATAATCCATCGGACATGAAGTAGTTGCAACCTTGACCAAGTCCTTAATATCTTATTAGATAGTTCACTAGTTCAATACCTTTCTACTAGGTTGCTTCATCTGTAGTAATTTTCCAAGGTTGGGGGTTCTGGAGTCGCGTCAAACTTATTACTAGGCACCGTATATACTACTTATTGTGCCACAAATGTAAATGACTACAAGATTCACCTTTCATGTAATTACAGAACTCACCTTTGAGGTAAGAAACGTTTACGACGAACGGTAAGATCTACGGATTAGCACGAGAAGAAAAGCCAAGAAAGCCACACAGTGCTCGCGAGCCACGCAAGCACACAGAGCAAGAATGCGATTGAAAAAATTCAGAAGAAAGAAAAATACAAAAAACAAAAAAAAAATACAAAGAACAAAATAAAAATACAAGAAAAATAAAAATACAAAAGGAATTAAAAATACAAACAAAATTTACAAAAAAAGTGTATCAAAAAACTTTGTCACATATCCAGTTTTCCCTTCATCTCACCTCGCTGAGGTTCTCGGAGAGAAGCAAAACCAGGGAAACGCCCAGAGGAACGCCTTGGTGCCCGAGGGGCTCACTCCCACCCCAATTTGCGCTTGACAAAGCGCCCAAGACCCCGGGCAGTACGGCCAGATTGCTGGGCGGTGTTGACAATGGCCTGGGCTTCGGTGGCCAGGGGGCGAGGCGGAGAAGGGGGAGGGGGGAGGGCCAGGGCGACCGGGGGAGACGAAAAGACCGGCGGGAGGGAGGCCGGACAGGGGGGGAGGGGGAGCGCGCGGGCAGTCGATACCCTTTGGGTATCGGTTGGTAGTCAAAGGCCAACAAGGCCGGCGAAACGGCGGGCGAGTCGGAGAGGGAGGGGGAGGGAGACAACCCAACAGAGCGGGCCTGCAGAGACAGGGCCGGGATATCGGCCTCCTTGGCCGGCTCCACCATGACCGGGAGTGGGCGGGACGTGTCGCCTGTAATACAATATATTGTTAGCACTGACGATATACTTAGGTATTATGACGGGCAAAGAGAAGGCTCCTGGGCCTAGCCTACCAGCACGTCTACTCCGCGCCCACTCCCAGGCCATGGTGGCTTGCGGATCAAAAGCCGCCGCAAGTTCGTAGAGGCTATATCACAAGATGTCAGTATTCTTCAAAAAGGATTCTCATCTGGGATTCTGTAGTTCACTTACGGGATGCCCTCTTCAGCCGTCTCTCTGTCCTTCTTTTCCTTCTTTTCCTTTCTTTCCTTCATCTTTGTTTTGATGAAGAGGGCGAGGGCGCCAAGGCAAGGCCGGCCGCGATGCCGATTCCGACATACCCACCGGGAGCGATCAAATCCCCCAGGGGTTTGGTGCTGGTGGTGGAGCTGGTGGTGGTGCTGGCGGTGGTGCTGGTGGTGGTGCTCGCGGTGGTACCGGTGGTGGTGATGATGGCGGTGGTGGTGATGATGGCGGTGGTGGTGATGATGGCGGTGATGGTGATGGTGTCAGGGGCACCGGGGAGAAGTACAGTCGTTTGGACTATAGTAGACATTTCGCGAGCGTTGAAGGAGAGAAAATGTCTGAGGTCTGCGAGACTTTTTCTCTCCTTCAATGCTGTCGCGTCGACTGAGCAGGAGCAGGGTCGCGCCTTCCTTTATGGGAAGCCACATAGAAGACATCGCCTCTGAATACGTTCTACTTTTCACCCAATGAGAAACTACTCGTTGCCACGTACTTAGATTGATAAATTCATACTTGGTGAACGACTTCCGGTGAACATGATGCTTCAGCCCGACGATGGAGGGTTCTTATTTGCATTCACGCAGAGCTACAAGTTGGTAATTTGGAGTCCGAAGACTTTTAAAAAGGAGCTGACTTTAGGAAGACCCTCCAACAGCTCTATCAAAGAAGTTGCTTTCTTCCTAGATGGCAAGCAGGTTGCGTCGGTACATGAAAATGGTAACATAATGGTTTGGAACATTGACTCTATAACTGAGACCTCTCGGGTGACAAAAGCTTCTGGAAAGCACGACTTTGAATTTCGACATGGCAAGATTCAGCGACTTGCGTACGGATCATCGCTCTATCGAAGGCTTCGCTCTGTGTATGATTATTTTAACCGACCAATTTCGATTGATAGAATGCCTCGGTTGAATGGTGCTGGGAATTCGGGACAAACTCGCTTTCTATCGAGAGATGGAAATTGGATGGTCACGTTGACAACCGCCAGTACAGGCTCAGCCTGGAACACCAGAACAGGTACGAAGACCTTTGACTTCTATGATTCGATGTTATTTCCCTTCCAGAGTTCTGTTGAATTTCTACCAGGCTGTAACACAATCGTGATACTTGGTCATGAGAAAATCCAATTTTGGAACATGGACAGTGGTACCAGAGGCGACGAAATCAAGAATAAAAATGGCTTTGCTGGCTTGAAATTTTCCTCTTCCCGTTCGGGCAGTCTTCTGGTATATTTCTCTTGGAAATATCAGAACAGTATTTATCTGCGTTGTTTGCAAGCCTGGAAGATTTCCGAAGCACGTGTCATCTCGAGCTTTGAAATACCGTTACGTCCCGGAAATATTCCATATACCTTGGCCTTTGCCCCAGATGAAGAATTTTATGCTGCATGGGGGGGATACTATGCCTGGTGTCGAAATAAGATCTCTTTAAACTGGCGTTCAACTGCACGAAAGAAAGATCGATCACGTTAGAGCTATCGAATTTTCCTCGGGCAGCCGACGGCTCATGATCATTGCTAGGAGGAAACCAGTTAACACAACTGTTATATTTGGAATCTCGAAGACGGTCATATTCAGAGCATCCACCAGGGAATCGATCATGATGAATTGCCCTTAAGTTTATTCTCATTCTCACAAGATGGGAGTTTGCTTGCCGTCTTTAGTTTTCATCGGGTCTATGTATACAACCTCGCGACATTAGCTTTGGTAAGGACCATAGAGGCCGGTCTGCCATCAAAGATATTTGGAATCTCCTCGTCCAAAAAAGAGATAATTACAAGACTTGGGGTGTTTTCGATAATTCATGATAAGTCTTCCGTGCTTTCGGGACTTCACTTCACTGGTTCATGGATCCAGCAGGATGGTATTGATATATTGATACCTTGGCAATACCACCTGATTATCAACCCTTTTTGGTGGCAGTCAATGGGGATACTATCACCTTTTTTGATTCACAGAATGGTCCTTTCTTTTTCAATTTTCAAATAAGAGTGAAGGAAAGCAGGGAATGAAGAACAGGATGGGTTTGAACAATGTGATTCTATGACTCTTCATACATCTGAAGGCCACTTGAAGTGGTTCCAAGATTGTTTATATATTTTCCAAGGTTTTCGAGGTCTTTCCTACTTCAAGTTCAAGTTGTAGTAGCCCATCTAATGCTCAGGTGGGCGCGTTTCAAAATTCACGACCCAACCCATCATCTACTAGTAGCATCTGCAGAATATACAACCTTGGAAGGAAATTGTATAGGCTTCATTTTTTTTTTCTCGAGGCGTAATTTGAAATCCTAGATTTTGGTAGATTTATGAACCATGGTCATCGATGCATTATGACTTGGGGATTGTGCAGAGAGTTGATCTTTGACGACCTGAAATAGCTCACTGGCTCAGGCATCAGTAGAATTCCGATTGAAACACTTGTTGAAAATGAAAGCAGCCTTGCCTGAAGTCACACACAATCAATGATGATACTACGCAACAGCAGAAAATGATGTTTTTCTTATCCCGTAACCTTTTAGACTGAGGAGATCAAGCCAAAAAGGTGCTTCGAAATTGGGCTTAGATCAACTTTCACTGGCCCTTTGCCGTCTATGTAGGCAGTTGCTCGCCAGGTCCCGAGAGTGGACAACGGAGGCACGCGACTGCAAACAATTGTATATGGCAATAACCAGGATGATCGTCACGCACGGGCCTTAAAATGCACGAAAATGAGAGGTTTTCTATTCAGGGGTACCTGCTAGACAGCGAACTCCCCCCCCCTTCCGATTAATTAGTTGGTATTACGGAGAAAGACTTAGAATGTAGACGTGCACGACTTCAGAAGACCTCGATCGCCAAATATCCTCTTGCAAACCACCAAAACCTTGATATCCTTGAAATGCTCCCAGCGACCACGATCAACATGGCGCGGGGATTGAACCAGGCTGAAAAATCAATCTGGGGCGAAAACGAGACGGTCCGCTCCTCGAGCGGGGGGGCCAATAACCTGCTTAATTCCTTTGTTTGCCCCCCCACTTTACCCGGCAGAGAGTGAACGCTTCCTGACTATTTTCCGTCTAGAGTCTAGACCAACAATCCTTCCCTCAATACCTACCAATGGAAACGGGGAAAAATTCAAGTTGGCATACAATTACCTTTGTCGGCGAAGTTCCTGCGCCGATCTCCAAACAATGGGGATTGGAACTAGCTAATAATAATAGCCCATCATGCTACGCCCCCTACTTTTTGTATCTTTCAACCTTCACGATCGAACCGGGGTTATTCATTCTGACCGAGTGAGTCTGCGCTGCTTGTGAATAATTCCCTTTCTATTCGACATGTGATGCCATAGCGTGCTAATTTGAAGAAAGGACCCCGCTGCGCCAATTCCTCTCAGGCGGTTGCTTCGGTGCGACTTGCGGGGCGACATTCGCGCTCATCCGATCAGATCCACTTGGTCTTCAGATCATTGGAGATAGGTTCTTCATGGACACGCACCTACTTACCGAGCAAAGTTGCAATGGCTTCATCCTGCCCAGATCCGTTCATTGACGAATCTCGGTTTCCAAGTACCGGGGGTTGTGAGTTTATTGTTCCCAACCGGAAAAAGGGTCGCATCTCTATGCAATGCGTCTGTTACGACTCTGTTCTGACGAAGTGGCAGCTGTGTCGAGTCGATGGTGCGAAGATCTCGGGGGGAATTTCCTGCTGTCTCCCATGTCCCATTGGATATTGGAGGTGGAAACATGTCAATTGTATGTCATAAACAATACGGTCGCTTTTCGTTGACTACCTAATGCTTGCTAGGGCTTGCCAACGATGTACGGCTACCTCTGTGGCCGAGTATACCGGTTTTTATTGCGCTGGTCTGGTTATTAGCCACTTACGCTATATTTCCCGCGAACCTGACGGATCGTCACTATCTAAATATTGCTCCGGTGATCGGGTTGATGTGCATATCGGTATCGAACTATCCTCATGTTTCATAATCTGTTGTAGATTGGTGAGCTGACAGCGACAACTAGATCGCATTCATTGTACCCTCAAGAGGCCAGCCCAAGGAATGCTATAACCAAATCACCCCAAATGACATGCGAAACGATGCGATATCTGCTCTCACAGGACTCGTGTTATTTTGGGGAGCCTGGGTGGTAATAACAAGCAGTAAGCAATTAATACCTACTAGAAACATTCGTCTCTAATATTCTGTTCTACTAGCCTTTTTTCGATCCATCGCCTTACACCTCTCTGTATGTTGGGAGATCAAACCGGGCCAACTGTACAAATGCGCTTCCCTTACAATCATTTTTGTTGGATCATCCGCCCTTGTCGCCATCCTTCTATCAGTTTCGGGCGTAGAATACACATTTGGCCGGATATCCTATCTCACCCCTGGGATTGACCGAGCAACATTTTGGGGTCCTCTTCTCGCAATATCAGCTGCATCCCTCTTGCTACAATTTATCACCGTTGCATACTGCGCTATACTCACTCTTAGACCCTGGTTTAACTACCAGAGACTACGCTGGTCGGGATATACGCCATCTCGGGACGAAGAGCGCGTGCTTGGTGCCCAGCGAACAGCCTCACGCGTGCGAAAAATAGTACAGCTACAATGGAGAAACAGTCTCATCACGGTGGTTATACTCGTTTACGTTTGCTTCTTGGCCGGTGTGCTCATGCAACTGCGACCATTCCACGATTATTCGAAAACAGACAGGGTAGCCTGGTTTGAGTGTTTGAGATCATCGAACGGCACCAGAGACTCATGCCTTTCACTTGCCGCCCCGCTAGGACCCAGCGAGCAGGCGGTGATAGCCGTTCTATCAATGCTTGTCGTAAGTAATTTGCCGCGAAATTTGGCCTTCTGAAACTTGCTGACCTTCCGAAATTTAGGTGAGTGGGACTTTAGCCATTGCTTTCTTCTTCCGGTCATCCATGTATCGAGCCTGGAAAAGCCTAATAACAAGGGAGGAGATACGTGCACTGACACCCAGTGATCGATCGAGTTACCAATCCAGATCACAAGCTGATCAGCACGAAGTGGAGCTCGGCAGTCAGTCTTCGACTACTAATCGATTCAGCCAATTCACATTCTTTCCAGCTAGCGACGCAGATAGCATCACCAAAAGTCAGACGGTGCCTCATTACGTGACGTGAGTTAATTAATTGCTGGATAAAAGCGTCTCTCTGGGGCTATGAAAATTGAAATGAAGTACCTAGCAGAGGTTCCTAATCAGGAATATTTGTCACATACAAAAATGTAATTATTATTTATATCATGTCTCATGTGAAATTATACTGTGCTAGTATCACGACCGGTCGAGCGCGATCGGCATTGCCGAGGTGTTGTTTTCCTTAGCGTCTCCTCAATAATAGCCCACTTTCTTACCACTTGCACCCGGTCATCTCCAGACGATGCTTTCATTTCATCGTGGCCCTGGGAGATCCGTGATATCAATATTTGACCTTCTTGGGATTTTCCTAATGAAGTCAACAGCATTCTTCGGACCCCACTCAAGGGATAGCCTGCGAGGCCCCAAAGTCCTGGACAAAAGGTTAGCGTTTCACTGTGATATGATGACTGCAAAGATGCCCATACCTGCCGGTGGCTTGAAAAATACCCCTCCTATTCCCTTTCCAATACCCTTGGCCATTCCTTTTGCCCCGTTCTCCTGGTAGCCGTACCGAGGCTGGGTTACTAGGCCGGTGATTCCATCGTAGAATCCGTCGTACAATTCCTTTCACAGAATTAGCAAATTTTTATAGTCTCATCAAACGGATTGTGTTTCTTACATGTCCGGCTGCTCGGAAGCCGCTCCGAACTCCAATAACCTTAGGTATCGCTTTTACCATGCGATCATTGTAAAGCTTTGGCGCATTATGAAACCCTTTGGAGAGGCTAAGTGACAGATCCGTTGGAAGCCAAATCAAGAGATTGATGAGCTTTTTCGACATCCTGCTCCCCTGGCTTACTGCCTCGGATAAGAATGTATGCCGCTTGGCAGCTTCGGTGCCGCCGCTCATTGTCATCGACTTTTCGAGTTGAAGGGTGCGGGTTCGGGACAGGCCTGCCTCTGAAAAGTCTGTCGTTTGTTCGTCACTCAAGGAGCTTTCTGTCTCCGCGTCGCGTAAATTCTCCATCAATTCATCAGCGGTCCGATTTTGATCTGCTCGCTGTTGGTCTGTTCGCTGTTGGCTTGTACTGCGTGACTCTCGGTTTTCTTCGCCGATAGAGAGATGATCCTGTCGACTTTTTCTACGCGCATGCCAATTGGAATGAGGATCGTGGCGTTCGTTTGGATGGCCCAAAGCACGACCAGCTGAGACTAGGTCCATAACTACACCCGTCGGAACGTCGGCAAGCCCAGTGACGAAGTTCGAAATGGCGCCAAATAAAACTTGCGCACTTGCACTGATAGGACCGACGGGGTCTCGATAAGTGTCATATTCGACCGCTCGGTTTCTATCAACTTTGTTAATATTTTTTTTTGCATGGCGCACCATTGCTATGTGAATAAACTTACAGAACAAGGTTTTCGGGCTTCACGCTGCCCATTTCTACAAGAACTGCCGCAGCGAAGGCACTCAGACCGACAGCTGTATGTTTTAGATGCCAGACAGCCGGGCGAGTAGGACATACAGAGCATCGAAGCTGTTTCAGATCAAGATGTCGGTGAAAGCTTCGAACGCTATCTCTAACGCCTGATTCCCCTTTCATCTTTTCCGAGATTTCCAGAGCCTTCTTTTGTGTTGATGGCTCTAGAGCCTCGGCTATTGCATTCCGTAAATTGGTTGCAGTTAGCTGTTTGTGAGGGATAGGTGCTGGTCCGGCCCCAGAATGTGCGACAATTTTACCCCAGAATTGTTGGTCACCGAAAAATGGTATGATGATCGTTGGTCGGCCAAGTGCTAGCCCTGCAGCCGTTGTCCCGGCACCACCATGATGAACAACGCATGAAACCTGGCGGAATAGCCAATCATGGGGAACGCTGTCAATCAGGAGAATATTATCAGGGACTTCTACCTCGTCGGATCCGAGGTTTCCCCAGCCCTTGGAAACAATAGCGCGCTGTCCGGATGCTTCGATCGCTTCGAATACCGTGCGTGTTAATTTTATATGATCTTCAACGACTATGGAACCAAAGCCGACATAAATGGGAGTTGGCCCAGCCTTGAGGAACTCATTAATTGCATCAGGTGGGGTATAGTCAGATTTCGAGGGGAGAAAGCTGAAGCCGCAGATATCGATATGTTTTCCCCAGTCTTTTGGTTTAGAGAGTAAAGCAGGGGACCTAAACCAGATATACTTAGTTAGAAGAATGAACGACAAAATTGATAACGGAAAGAAAGAGTTTGGGTTTTACCATAAATAAGAGAAAGGGATTTCCAAGCGGGGAAGTAAGCTCGGGCCGGTGATGCTGTCCAAGGCATCCAGGGATAAGGTCTTTTTTCGAAATTTATTCACAAGATCGCCAAGGCCTTCCCAAATCATCATATCCATTATGGCGTAGGAGACGAAGGAAACAACAGTAGGCTTGCAGTCATTGTGGCTGATTATTGCGAGAGGGTGAGGGACGGACTGCGTGGGACTCCATGGCATCCTGGGTCATGTTAGCTTCATTCTGTCATATATAGAAGGCGATTCGAATCATCGCATGGTTCAGGAAGAAAGCCCTTATAGGAGGATACACTTACGTGAACATCATATGGAGCGGTATGCCGAGTCTTTGAGCACAGTGTATATGAGCAAGGCTCGGAGGGTTAGCAATGATCGCGTCTGCGACGAAGGGCCGCCGTCGATAGTCCACTACATCGCCCCAGAGATCCTCCTTGATCTGGTGAAGATCGGTTCCATCTCCCATTTCGAAACAGGATCTCCAGCAACCGTTGATAATTTCCTTCATATCCCGGCGGCGTTTTTGAATAGCGCCGCTGCGAATTGAACTCAATCCAGGGAGAAGACCAGGATTCTTCACCATGAACGCCATCATCTCCGCCGGATCACCGCCGATATTAAAGAACTCCAATCCCCCATCGAGAACAGGGTCCCGGAAGGCCAGATGTGTTGCCAGTCGTACTCGATGTCCGTATTTCTGTAGCTCGGCTCCAATTGCGATGAACGGCTGGATGTCACCACGGGACCCGATAACTTGAATCACGATGTTCAGATGTAGCGGAAAGTCTTTCCCAGCCTCTGGAGAAATTGCATCGGAGCTTTCCTGATCTTCAAGTTCTTCGAGCTCGGACGGAATCGGTGTACGTTGAATCTGATTTAGAAGCCCCGCGATGCTCGGTTTGTGCTGATTGATTCTGATATCAAGGCGACCATCACCTAAAAGCAAATTGCGACGATGTTAGTAGATTTCCTTTATTGTAACTCGATTGCCGAGGTCAGGCTGTGTAGTATATACCGAGAACGCGAACACCAGTGTCAAGGCCATCCCCGGTGAAGTATTGGCGACCGGCATGTCCCTTATATGGCTCACTGGCAGCTTCAGGCCAGTCTTCGGACTGAATACCATCATTTGCCTCCGATCGTCTGGATGCTTGAGAGCCTCTAGAGAATGACCTTCTTGGTGCGACCATCTCGCTCATCGAGTGGTACGCACGCAAGGATGTAGCGCGATAGCAATATATCAAGGAACAGGGATGTTTTATTGGTCCAGGATCAGTTTTATGCACAAGAGAAAACAATCGCAAAGCTTTGAATATATCCAAATTTTAGAGTAGTCGATGATGTCATGCTCGTGCCGGTCGTTCCACGGTGGATCCGACTCGACCCAGCCTTACCGATCGGTGTTTGTAGATCCCGAGGTTTTAACTCCGGAAGATTGCTAATAATCCATAATAACCTCGGAAGGCTGTCATGGGACGAGTGAAGGTTATATATCTTGAGATTTTCGTATCCGGTGCTACCCGGCGGCTAGATCTCGATAAACTAACAGATGCCCGCGTCTCATTATATGTACAAAGTAGGCTCTGGCATGTTTTCTACCATTTCCGATTTGACTCAGATTTATAAGTGGCCTTCTTAGATGTGGGTCAATGAACGACCAGTGGAATCATGTTGGGCGTCCCAGATAGCGAGCTCCGTCTTTGGAACCTTAACAAGTTGGTGCGCGATGGAACCATCTTCGTACTCGACAACGGTCTGCCTGAACTCGTAACCCTTGTACTTCGGAATCAAATCGATCCAAACATAATAGTAAACCACACAAGCGGTAATCCTGAATTTAATTAATTTGGGTTGCTCATCGCTTTGATCCAGGAAACTTACAGGCCAATGCCAACCACCAAGTATGTTCCATACCAAAAGCTCACATCTCCGCCATTTGCGCCGGTGGACGGAGGATACCAAGGAGCGATAAGCATATAAAGCGTGACTAGGAATGCGAAGGCGATAGAGATATTCCATGCGGAATATTCCGGGTGAGGAAGATTGAGTGCCTTACGGCGCCTGCGAATAAGGACTAATCCAATTACCAACAAAAAGTTGAAGATATTCGTTGGATAGACAGAGAGATCAACAACTGGAAAATTTCAGCTCTCATCCGGAATGTAGGAGCAAAACAATTTGAAACTTACCGAAATTGAAGGCATCTCCAGCTGGCGGACAGATGATCATCAAAACAGTCAATGACCACTGCACCGTATACGGCCCGAGGGGAGTACCGAACGGTTTAACCGATGTCCAAAACTTGGGCCAAGGAAGAACTCCTTGTCTGTGAAAACGTAATGGCTGTCAGCATTGTGTGTTGCATCATTCAGAGTTGCTTATAGCTGTTAATTGGGTACATACCTTCCTGTTTCTCGAAGTAATCTTGACGTATTCACTAGCACTGCGATCAGGTTTCCGAAAGCGCTCAAGCAAACAAGTACGTCCAAAGCATTGGATGCCCCATGCTTGCCAAAAACCTTTTCAAAAAAGATGGATGCTGCAACCTGTTTTGATGCGAGAATCTCCTCGCGCGACGCAGCCGAGAAATACGCAACATTAACAAGGATATACAGCCCTGTGACAAGAAGGAGTGAAATTGGAGCACTCCACCGGAGAGTTTTCACGGGATTCTGGAGTCATCAGCAAAGAGAAAGTTGCTCGAACGAGATAGGGTCACAAACCTTAATCTCATTGACTACTCCAAAAGCATTTGTATAGCCCATGTATGAAAATATTAACTTTACCATCGCATTAGTTGCTCCATACGCGGTTGCTTCAGAGGTCCCTTGCCACGGGTCTTTCCAGTTTCCAGGATCTTCAACCTTCGTATGACCCCCAAGGACGACAAGGCCAGCGATTGAAATCCTGCGTGAAATTAGAGTAATGCTTCCGAGTGGGTTGGGAAGGGACTCATACAGGATTAGGGTGAGAATCTTGACTATCCCAAACCAGATAACAAGCTTCAAAGACCATTTTGTGCTAGCACCGACAACAAAATATGCCAGAGTGTATAATGCAACTGCCACCCCTTTCATCTGCCATGGAGTATAAGTGACACCGCCAATGCCGAAAATGTATTGCGCCATGACAACTGCGTTACTGCTGGCGAAAGAAAATATCACATGCTTTGCAGCGAATATTGTGGGAATGAGATATTTGGGGTTGGGAAAAGCTTGTTCGAGGTAGACCACTTCTGATCCTGATCGGCTAGGAAAATATGACGCGTACTCTAGATAGAGAGAAAGGATACTCTGGGAAAGAAGATAACCGATGAACCAGTATATCATCGTCAGTCCTACAGAACCAACACCCGACAGGATAGTGGCCGCTTTAAAATTGTCAGTGCGATCATTGAGTCTAGTACTGCGAGGACGCGCAATGTCACGAAACTCACGTGTTGAGAATATACCGGTCCCGACCATTTGGTTAATATTCAAGCAGAAGGCTGCCATGAACCCAACTGAATACCCCAATGGAGAGCTGGTTTCAACAGGTGCACCTGAAGCATCTTGGTAGGTAGTAATACTAGAGTTGAGGCCTTCAGCTGCAGTGTATCCGCCTCCGATCGAAGACTCGTCCGAGGCCGCCGTTGACTCGTTGGAGACATTGGCCGTTTTCTCCTGGTCCTTCAAATAGCTCATTTTTTCCCGAGCAAATTTCTTCGAGGTAGTGACATCTGCAAAGACAAAATGGAGTTCTCGGCTTTATGTATCAATGTGATGATCGGACTAATTTCCCTCGGATGTTTTATTGTTGCTTCATTGCCGCGTATGAGCACGCCATATAGTGCAAGACCCCTGGCGGATATTGTCATTCAAATCCTACGCTATAACACTTTTACACCATTTGATAGGCTGTGATTCCCTATCTGTATGCATGTCGACATGCCTCCGCATTATTTGTTCATTGTATTGTTTTTTGACACGGCACTTTGTGTACGCCACAAATCGAGCCACCCACCTCAACAGATGTCAAGAGAGATCGGCAATTGTCATATAAAGGTCCAAGCGCAAGATACTAATTGTTTCTAATTCTGAGATTCTATACCAACCACGGGATAAGCTTGGTTTTAAAGATAATTCTTGTCTTTGGTGTGATTTTCTCGACATTTTCTTATGTCGCATTTTTTCCAGCCGCGTGCATGTGCCATTGATAGTTACCTGGTTCTCAACGACACATTTTGCCATAGCCAAAAGGCCATGAGCTTAATCAACGAGCGAAACTATCGATGAATGTTGACCCAGTTTGTATGTGTTGGGGCGCGGTTGCGTAAAGGCGACTAGAGCCTCAGGCATAAAGGTCACCGTGTCGTCGCTTCCATCCGATCACCACGTCATTCGTGTCTATTTCTTTTCGCGTATACTTGGCAGTATGAGCAATTAGATTAATATGGAATAATGTCGGGGACACATAAATCTGGATATGGTTGATTGTAATTCAAGGTACGTCCCGGGGTTTATGAAAAATTTCTTATGTCTCGTCCATCTTGAGGTTGACAAGTCTCCAAGTAAACTAGCCGCCTCATTGATCAATCGCCTAAGCTTGTTGTGGATCCAGACTCGAGATATGCTGGAACATACCATCTGATGATTGTTCTTGATTTCGCTTGTCGAGCAGTCTCACCACCGCTTTATCTCGACGATCAGGTGCCCATGACAGTGGCGTCCGACCATAGCTATCGTTTGAATCAGACTCAACATCATGTCGCCCGATCAACAGTTTCACCACTTCTTCATGGCCACCTTCATCTGCGTGTGATAGCGGTGTCCGATTATCACCATCCTTTGAATCCGCCTCAACATCATCACGCCCCACTAGCAGTTTCACCACTTCTTCATGTCCACCTTCAGCTGCGTGCGAGAGTGGTGTCCGACCATCCTCATCCTTTGAATCCGCCTCAACATCATCTCGCCCGATCAACAGTCTCACTACTTCTTTATGACCACCTTCAGCTGCCTGTGACAGCGGCGTCTGACTAAGACTATCTTTTGAGTCCGCTTCCACATCGCATCGCCCTACTAGCAGTTTCACTATCGCTCCATGTCCATAATAAGCTGTCTTTGAGAACGGGGTCGAACCAAAGTCGTCCCTTGAGTCCGCCTTTACATCATCTCGTTCGATGAGTAGCTTTACCACTGATTCATGTCCACGTTCAGCTGCGAAGTGCAGCGGAGTCCGGAAATGGATGTCCTTTGCGTCTGCCACGATATCGTCTCGCCGCAGTAGTAAATTTACCACTTCTGTATATCCAAGCATAGATGCGTACGATAGTGGCGTCAAATCCCAGCCATTATATGAGTTGACCACCACATCATCTCGCGCCACGAGGAGCCTCACCACCTCTGCATGCCCACGCAAAGCGGCGATTGATAGTGGAGTGAGAAGATTATTATTCTTCCCGTTGACTGGAGTACTATCCTTTGCCAGCAGAATATTCATCAGTCTGCACTCATCCTTTTCTGCTAGTAGGTGTAAAAGCGTATTCCCGTCTTCATCTTGAATCCCAGTGTGTCGGATGGTCAAGAGTTCGGTGACCTCAGGAATGGCGCGTAAAAGGGATAATTGATCCTGAGGGTTGAGACTTTCAGCCACAAGGAGAATGAGCTCTCTTGGGAAATAAACATGGTCTTCAGATTCATTCATGACTGAATAATAGTAACTGCGACAGGACAAAATGTGATGGCGCTCTAGTCCTGTGATGTAGCAAGTCACTCGATCGTATAATCGTAGACTTCAGGGTAAATAATCAATAATGAAATTCAGGAGCACAAGCGGTGAGGGCGGTTGTCACGACACCCGTAACCGCTAACGTGTTTTACAGGCGAGCCGCGCATATCGCGCATCACTAAACCATAGCAAAGCCATACTTTCAAACTAGGATATCTTAACAACAACAACACGTTGGTTCTATTTCAATTCTGTGTAGAAGTTATCCTTAATTGATGTAATAAACTTGGATGTCAGTTTGTTATGGGGTAGATTAGTTGACTAACGTATCTACTAAGTTAGCACGTAGTATACTAAAAAGTTACGATGCCCAGGTGTACTAGTAGTGTTTTCAAGTTATCAAGTTTGATTCTATAAATATACTACTACAAGTATACCACAGGTACTGGTAGTAGCATAACAGCGACCTCGGAATAAACTTGAAATATAGAATATTCCGATCTTAACTTGAAGAACTTAGCCTTGAAAGCCCTACTCAGGTGGAGATGATATAAGCACTGGCACAGTATAAGCCATGGGGAATGACCATATCCATGGATATGATCCTACTTGCCAAGATTGTAAGGGATTTGAGTAAGAAATGATCCTTGGTGAGATAGTATTAAATTGTAATTTCAATGCTATCGCCTTAACTATGGTGTATGGTGATGCGCCGCTCGCTTATGAAAGATGTTAACGGTTTCAGCAACGCGGCGCCGACCCGAACAAACCTGGGAGCTCTATATTCCAGGTTAGCAAGAGTCACATACAGATTGTAGCAATGTGATAAAATTGGTGTGTAGTGGATATATGCTTCAAGCAACGGAGTCGCCAAAAGGGTCTGAATTACTGTCTAACAAGTTATTGGGGCAAGCTGATAAACATCAAACAATCAAAATATTTCCAGCGGATCAAACTTATGACGCAATGGTCACAGAGCTAGAAAGGTATCAATCAACTCTGATGGTTGTTCAAAAAAGTCAAACATCACAATACCCAGCCTCTTTCCCTTAGAATGCTTCAAAAAAAGAGACCAGCTGATGATTCACACCACCTTCTGGTGTCAGATCGGAACCATTGCCCGTGGCAATTATGCGGGGCCAGTCTGGTGGTGTATTAGCCGTGTTTGTGCCGGATGCGAAAGTCCAAAACAGGCTATCTTCAAGTCCAGTAGTCGCTTTGAGAAGATGTCGCTTGGTGGCATTGAACTTCCACTTGATGTTCTCAACAGCACTGGATCCAGTCGGTGTAAGTGGCTGATAATAGTCCTCAATAAACGCAGTCATATTCTTTTTCGAATTGTAAACAAGGCTTATGTCTGGGCTGTTGTCTGTCCATAGACTTGGCGAGAAATGAAGGCCAGGAAGGTCCTCTGTGTATGATGAATCTAGCTGGTCCAAATCAAATCGGCGAAGCAGTATTATTTTTCCGCGTGCCTCTCCGAGGGCCCCTAACTGGTCTTTCTTTTGGAGGAAATAGTGTCGAGCCTCTGGTGAAACAAGAATATTATACAGATTCAACTGCAGCTCTGCATTGTTGGACGTGTACTTCGCGGTCGAACTTTCGTGTTGAAATGACAAAAAGATCGTTTCAGATGGGTGATCATCGAGCCACTGATAGAAGCCAAATAGTACGTCATCCACAGTTGAGGTCTCAGATAACAGCGCTGGCCCGTGGTAAAAGACGAGAGTGGTATTTGTCGGGTCAAAGCTATAGCGGAGGTCGAAAGCTCGAATTCCCATATCAAGCATGTCTATGAAAGGCAAATCCTGACACCGAAAGGTTTCAGGAACCGGCACGGTGACTTGGTTCAAGTCTGTAATTCCCTTGAGAGATCGCTGGGTTGCCTGGTCATAGTTCCATGTAGCACTGTCATGGGTCCCCGGGATGTTAAGATGGACGAGAGGCGTATCATCGGGATAAGCTTTCATCCACTCAGCCCTACCTGGTGCTCTGTTGATATAAGAGCCGAAGATGGGCGAGGCTTTATCGAGAACATTCTGCAAAGCGAGAGCAGCCAAATGTGAGGATGATGCTAGGGCGGACGGGAGTATGGCCGCCGTGGCCAGACAACCCAAGATCACTGACATGGATGAGGGCAACGCGACCGGGCGTTAGTCTTGGAATAGGGGCTGTTTGAGGAGGACAAAACGTTATAGTTGAAAGGTCTTGGAATCCTCCATATTGAGTTGAGTAATTCGTGAGCTCAGCTGGTGGATCCATTTTATTTGTTCCCAGCCCCCTATCCCCTTCCGCGATACCACGTTCCCCCTTGCATCGGCTAAATTCCGACAACATGACCGTTAGACGACAAACTCCGCAATTCACTCGAGGGGTCACATCCAAGATCGCATATTAACCCTCCCACGTGCAGCAAATGTCAAGTCACCACTGGCTCATCTCGGTGGGGCGTATCGGCTAGTTCATGTTCGTGCCTGGCGCGACCGCCTCGAGGTGATTATTAAAGACCAACCGTTGGGAAGTGACAGGCTTGACTTGGAAGTTTGAAAGATTGAGTGATTCTTCAACGCGGAAAATATTCAGAAATCATGCGCGGTCCTACTATTGGTGCCCTCTTTGGGTACATGGGCTCTGTGATGGGCTTGTCACCCCTTGATACCTTCTACCCCCCCTCTCAACCAGACCTCATATATCTCCAACACTTCGGCTGGAACATATGGCGGACTGTACCAGGCCGGCACTCATGGTCCGACTGGTGGAAAGCCATATGGAAGTTATGATTACTGCTCTATGCCCCATCCACGCGAATACCAACTCCCGGAACAAGCCGCCGATGGCAAAGCTAAGCTTGTCAAGCTGGTCTACCTTCAGCGACACCAGCGTCGAACTCCTTATAACATCCTGCCTGGTGGAGAGGTGAGCAGAGTTTGCTCCGTTCTTGGAAGTCAACTTATCTAACCATTCAACGCCAGGACCAAGCGTATCACTGCGATAATGTTCGGCCATATCTCTATGGCGGACCCAGTAGTGACAACGGAATGCAACCCGTGCCAGTTTATGCCCAAACTTATGAGGACCCCAATGATCCATTCAAGACTGGCGTGAGTGTCAACTCCACTTGCCAGTTCCCTCAGATCACCATTGGTGGTATTGAAGATGGGTACCAACATGGCAAGGATCTTCGAAACGTCTACCAGAAGAGGCTTGGTCTAATTCCTGAGCAACCAAATGAGCGCGTTTGGTTTAGATCGAGTGAATCGCCTCTTACACAAGCTTCTGCTGGGGCCGTTCTTCGGGGTATCTGGCCGGACTACCAGGGTGCCTTGCCTCTTCACCAGATGGTAAGCTCAGTGGATACGGTTAATGAGGGCTATTCTTGCAATGCTGTCAGCTCTACCCTCGACAAAATAAAGTCGACTGCCCAGTGGACTGAACATATAAAAGTCACTGAAGAACTTCGATCCCGACTCGCCTCAATGCTCGGCGCTCAAGACAGTTCTTGGCAAGAGACCTTTGATCATTTTTGTGACAACTTCCAAGCAAGACTTTGTAATGGCTACCGGCTGCCCTGCAGTGTCTCTAACTCCTCTGACTGTGTAACCATGCAAATGGCAGAGGAGGCATTCCGCGCCGGAGACTGGGAGTGGAACTATTACTGGCGCACGAACGAGTACGCGACAACATACATTCAGGTTGTCGAGGGTCTTTTTATTGGCGAAATCGTCTCCGACCTCAAGGGTATCCAAGATGGTAGTTCTTCTATCGACTACAGCCACATTTTCGTTCATGATGGTGATATCGGTCCCATTCTTGGTGCTTTGGGCATCAATGCCCTCCGATGGCCTGGTATGGCCTCAAACGTTGCATTTGAAGTCTGGTAAGTTCCCACAACCGAGTCGATCCTTCTTCGCCCAGATGCTAAAGATATACAGGGAGAAGGAACACTCTCAATTTGCCCGCGTACTCTATAGTGGATACCCAGTACAGACTATTCATGGGCCATTGGATTGGCTGCCGCTTTCCCAGCTCATCAACATCATGAACCCCTATGTGCCGGAAAACATTACTTCTCTTTGCGGCTGAGGTAGTCCATTCAACTGCCCAATGGATTCAAATATTTTTGGATCTCCGGCAATATCCCGGATTTCTGCAACAAGATGCATAAGTTGCTTCCTTCGCACATGAATGATATGGCTTGGCCCGAGGTGTGTACATTACTAAATTAAAATCAGAGTCTAATACTTTCTAAGTAATCTGGAGGGAGAGATCAACTCGCAAATGAAAGTCCGGCGTCGCTCATGTTCAAGTAATCATAACTATTCATCTGCGCAGTGCAAATAGGTTTTATACAATTTTCAAAGTAAAAGCTGTCATATTATGAATAAAAAGGTCAATGCAATGCTCTATGAGAAGTATGCTTATATGCGTTCGCTGGTTGAATTTAAACATCCCCCTTCCTCGCTGTGTCGTCTTCCACTCTGTTTTGTTGTTGCTTTTCGTCGGCAGTCAATTCGCTCTCTGCATTTTTGATTCTGACAAAGAACACAGCAATCACTAGTCCAAGGATAGCTAGCCCCGTCTGGAACCAGAACACGGCCTTATAACTCTCGCGCTCTCCCAAGTGCTTGGTTTGAGTTTCCACGATGTCCGCGAAGCCCAGCATAACCGCGATCCCCATATGCATGGTACAGTAAGGGAGTGCCCCCGCGATACCTTGTCGTGATCTTGGCATCTTAGTCGTGATGAAAATGTTGGCAATATTGAACGAAATGTCGATGGCGATTGTGCCACAGATCATGGCAGGAAATACGTAAGCCCAATAGTTGCCGCCAATTGGAACAACTGCGAATAATAGGCCTGATCCAACGTATCCGAGACATGAGATGATCATCAAAATTGTTCCAGAAACCTTGTGGAGAATAAAGCCACCGGTTACTGAAAGAAATAGGCCACCGACTGCCATTGGCACGGTCCAGGCGACAATCTGCAACGGGCTTGCACCCATGAATTCGGACATGCTGATTCCTGGTTAGAATTTATCATGGACATATCTTGAGAGGGAGGAAAGCTCACTAGAGAACACCATAGAGGAGGAATATTCCCAGGCTGCCGTACAGACAAAGCAGAGAGAAGAGGAGCGCTTTCAGGTGTTTCACATGGAACACATCCCCTGGCAGCAATGGGTTGTGCACCACCCAGCCTTCAATATAAGCGAATACCGCCAAAGTGATAAATCCCAGGCAAAAGAACACGGGGATATATGGTGTTCGCCATCCATTGGGCGCGTATGAGCTTTCTGCAATCGAGAAAACCAAAAATGTAGACCCAACAATAGACAGTACGAGGCCAGCCCAATCCATTCGAATGCCGAGTTCCTTTTTCTCGGCATAATCTTTAGGAACCGAGAAAATAGCGGAGACACCCATAATGGCGGAAAGGATAGCCCCGATGAAGAAATACCATCGCCAGCTAAGGAACTGACCAGCAAGGCCAGAAACGAAAAATCCAACGAAGAACCCTAGAGCAGCGCAGGCGCCATAGAGAGCAAAGACGAGATTTTTTCGAGGACCAGGTCTGTATGTACTACCGAGAATCATCATGCCGGAGGGCAGCAAAGCGCCTAGTGCTAATCCTTGGCATGCGCGGAAGAAAATCAACATCAGCCATGACTGTGAAAACCCAGCAATGATTGAGGATATGCAGAGCCAAATTGCACCGGCATTGAATACTAGGTAACCTCCGTACATGTCGGTTAACCGCCCCCATATCAAAAGTGTAGCACAAATGACGAGTGAGAGAGCCGTGGTTGGCCATATCGTTGATGCTGTCGGAATATTCAAGTCTCTTACAAGAATAGGGGTCAAGACGTTCGATCCGGTGATAAAGAACTCCTATACCCAAGTCAGCTTCGGTTTTTTCTGAATGGAATTTCCTGCAGTGCTACTCACGGCCAGAATCTGGCTCATGACGATCGAGAAAATGAAACATATTTCAGAGAAAAGACTAGCAAATATTTGTGGTCTTTCTCGACCGAGTTTCTCCATATCAGGCTCTGTGAATGTGCCTGTCTGCTCTTCATCAGTCCGCACTTGGGGCGGACCAGATGTGGCGGACGCCGGGGGAGTGGCGATTGACATGGTCCATCAAGAGGCAGTGGACAGTGGTGAATAATTATCATGAGCGAGGCAGTTGAGTCCAAGCCTACTGTACATTTATAACGGCTTCACTACGACGGCGGAGTAAATTAAAAATTTATAAGCGACTACTAGCGCCTCTACGGTCAACTTCCCAAAAAGGGGAATAAAATGAACAGCTTCGAGAACCGGAACCAATTTTCGGTCCTTATAGCTCAAGGTCGTCAGGGGGGCGTCAGATTTTGACGATTCCACCAGGCCCCTCTGCCAACAGCAATGAAGAGCCAGTAAAAGTGGCGGTTGAAGGCGCCGGCCAAGGAGATTCCTAATGCGCTAAACCTGATAAAGAAGTTGTCGGTAGTGGGGCAAACCGAGCCTCGGAACATTCGGGCCTGCACCGCAAACAACGCCGGCATAGAAACGTGGGGAATTCTCCGTCCGATCTCCCCGACCGATAGAGCCATTTGGTTCAGGGCGACCGTTTTTGGCCATGAAGGTGGCCAAAAATGGCATGGAGTGCCACGAGGGATGTATCAGCCCTACACACTTACGGCTGTTCTCCAGATTTTACCCCTCTTTGATTTAGTTCCTCCCATCGCCCGCAACCTCCACTCACCGCCTTTACATACTCCAGTTAGGTCACCCACACTTTTAGGAGCTGCCAAATTTATCCAGTCATGCGGTCGCTGAATGCGTAGTCAGATCAAACGCGAAATCGGCAGCAATCACGATTCTCTCGAGAATCTCATCTCGTGGGCCAAAACGTTCCCGGGCGCTGCCGTACTAGTAGTTCAGAGGGATATATTGATGGATCCATTGAGCTTATATATAATACTCCCTAGTATCAAACACCTGGGCAACAATGCACCAAATTAATTTCAGCCCTGGAGGTAATACAGCCCTGGAGCTTGTAGTCCGTCACTGTATCGACAACTTCCAGTTATTTCCGACAGTACGGCTTGGTTGCAGATCAGCTGCAAACCTTGGAAGACTAAATGTCACCACATTTTCCAAGGTTGATCACCTCTACCAGGTGATAAACAGGTTTCAAAATTATTATTTTAGCCATAAAAATAGATTTACCTATTAGATAGGGGGGATAAGCATTGGGTAGACCTTTACTGACCCGGGCCTATATTAAGGTGCGAGAGGTAACCTTACCTAAAAGTCAATCTCACAACTCTTTATAACTATGACTACCCTCTTCTTTATACTATACTTATAATCCCTTTTTTCTATACTATATATGGATAATATATAGCCCAGGAGTCTCCAACTAATTTCGTATCCTTAGCACGTATGCTTTGTAAAGTTAGGTAACTGTTTAGTCTATAGTTAGATAGATTTTGAAATAGTAATCAGTCATTTATGTAGGAAACCTTGGAACCAGGCACCCAGGCAAGCAAACTTGAAGGATAAATAGACACTGTTGAGGAAAAGGCACTGCCATGCTGTGATCCGATGGGACGAGAAAAGGATCTGTATCTACGATAATTATGTTGCCAAAATCAAAATCGTAGGACTACTTGAAAGAATGTGAGGAAAATGAATATAAAATTGAACTCTCATGAGTAGAATTCTCTTAGATACCAAGTTCCATCAAAGGTTTTCTCGCACCATCCCCTGAAGACTGAAGCCCATCTATCTCCACACACTATGCACCGAAATCAGGATCAGGCCCGGTCTCCAATATGCGGCTCTAGCTTAGTAGTTACAGACGCAGATGCTAAAACCATAGCTATTAGTAAACCAAGCAAGCCTACCTCAACCCCAGAAAGAAGGATTGCTCACCTGTCGTCGTCGCAGTGGCCGCCGTGGTAGCCCTCACCCTGGGCAATGCACTAGAATATTTGTGAGACCTTGAAAATGGAGATTTGTTTGAGAAGCCAAAGGAAGCATACAGAAGCGCTGCACGCAGCATCACCGGCACCCCAGATATCGCCGACCTGGCAAGAGGAGCGGGCCTGGATGTTCTCGGAGGGAACAGCCAAGGCAACAGAGCCGAAGATAGCAACGGCGCTCATGAAGACGGTGGTGAACTGCATTTTGATGGTTTCGTTGGTTTAAAGACAGATGTCTTGAAAATTGAAACTTGGTTTGAAGTAGGTTTAGATGGGAATTCGATGGATTGTTGTTGATAAGAAAAGAAGAGGACGGCAGGCGAGAGGGGGGTATTTATGCTCGAGATTCAAGATATCTTGATCATGAAAATAAATACAAAGTACCCCCCCTTGAGGTATTCTCGTGTTCACAGATAATGATCACCGCTCTTTTGCCTCAGCATTTGCAGTAAAATGTAAGATCGGCGATAATCTCCAAGTATACGATGTCGATCGTACAACAACGTTCGTGTTCGGGCGAACGATGCAACATTCCATTCCGTATGTACTTGGTCAAACTCAACTACCCAGAGAGTTTCATAAGCATTCTCAACACCTGAGTTGAGAAAGTGGAGATACCATTATCAGAAGCCTGAATCGTTTCTGGATGCTCGTAAATTGCAACCAGAAAGGCAAACACTACACTGTCTGGCCAGTGGTTGGATCCGCTTTTGCGTGCATTAGTTAGCGCTTAGGTACATTTGTTATTTTACAGGACTCAAACAGCTGAGTGCCGATGCACAATGGGGTAATAGTGAGGGGAAATTTTGGCTGGTATCTGTAATACGAAACCATCATTGTGATCTCAATCGCAAGGACTCCGATATATTGGCCAAACAGTGTCAGATCTGGGGCGAGAGATACCCGCCTACACGAGGAGATGGCCGATATCATTACTTGTCTGGTAGGCTATGCGACTGGGGATCTGCAGAGATCTACAGTGGCTTATACGTGCCGAGCCTCCATCCACCTCGGAGATTTGAGCAATGATATGACAATAAGCCTTGGCGGACTACGCGCCAAGACAACAAAATACCCCGTTCCGAGAAATATACGAGGGATTCTTTGTGGAGAACTGCGATCATCGTCCTGTTGCATCCTGTTGGGTCAAATTCATACTGCTTCGTATTCGAAAATAACAATAGATGGCGATCTGACGATCTTTCCTTTGGTGGGAGACCTGCCGAGAACTTGTTATCGACAGATGAGAGGCGAGAGCCCTGGAAGTTGATGTTTTGACATAAGGAACGCCGCGCTTTGGTGCCAGCCCCGGTAAAGGAAGCGAATTTGATAGAGAGCGTTGTCTTCCTGTCAGGCTGTTAAATTGCTCTCATCCAGATATTCAATGCTTGTGACGCGGTGTCTTGTTGTGCATGGCGAACCACGTAGACAGGGTTTACCTCGTGTGGATGACGGGATGAGAACAATTTTAGGTGTGGTACTCCTTGTACCGGCTTATGGAATATACCATCTGGCAGCCGATGGTTGTTTGGCATGTCGTGAGCGTAGGGCAGCGAAAGCGAGCTCAGAATGCCATTAATTACAAAAGCTCACTATCAGAATGCATGTGGTGCCACATGAATTCCCCAGTGTGTGTTTTGATTGGACCAGAGTATCATTTGCAGAAGACGGCACACCGGCTTCCTTCATGAAAACGGGGGTCGCAAACTCGAGAGCTCCACCAAAAGCCGTATATGCGTCGTGCACGTCCGACCCATATATGCAGCCGTCCATCTCTATATCGGTAGAAAAGAAATTGTTTCTCGGTTATGCTTTCTCTGGATAAGAATTTTGACTTGAGAGAAACCAATTTCCGCCTATTCTGATCTTGAGAATGGCGGAGTAATGATATAAGATAGAAAACCGAATAATCATCCTCATACTCTCAATCTGCGCGGAAGTGGCTTTGAAGCTGTGCTTAAGGGCCTCGATTCTCCGAGAGAAGGGAGGGCTCGGTGATAGTGAACGGGTCTATTGTGCTTAAAGAATAGCTATATTTGAAATCAGATAGAGTAGTTCAGATCCATTGTTTATCTTTTGAGACTGATATTTTGATGGCTGAACACCGGTGTCCATCAGATCTCGCGAAAGGGTGTAGATATTCTGTATACAACTTAAATGCGTTCGATCTTCTCGACAGTCGTATCCTCTGCTCTCTTCTCATCGAGACTCCCCCCCATGGATTTCACTGAATGGATCAACGAACGTCGAGCTGAATCTCCGAGCCGAAACCCCTTGCTCAAATAACAAATCCAACTCGGCATAAGTACGACCCTTTGGCTCCGGCAAGCAGAAAAATGCCCAAACAAAACAAAGAAGGCATGAACCTGCTCAGGAATATCCTTTTTTTGCACCCCAGTTCCACGCAGAGGGGCTGAGCATCCTTGGAACCAATGTGTTTGTAACCAAACCACTGATCGTGAAACAGTTTCGCGCAAGAACGATCGTTTTCGAGCGCAGCCGCGTCGAACTAAGCTCGGCAACCAGGGAGTAACAAATAGGACCGACGGTCAAATCATAAACAAGCGTATAAACAAGCAATAAAGCGCCAACTCCCCACCGGGCAGGTACGAAGCTTTTCGAAATAATGCCCAGACAGCCGATAATGAATAGAACAGCTCACATTGAAGCCAATCCACTGATGTAGAGAGTTCGTCGGCCAAATTTGCTAATCATTGGCCATGATAGAAGAATTCCAATGGCGCCCAGCATGTACTGCACCATTGACATCGTGAATGCGTTGCTAGTCGCGAGATCTGCTTGTTGGAAGAAATATGTCGAGTACCCCATCAAAGTACTCCCACATAATGCTTGAGTGACCCAAGTCAAGCATACTATCTCCATACGTCGGAGATCAATTCCACGAAAGCAATTCATTTAAAATGTACCAGTGCTAATTTTCTTCTCAAGATCATTGGTACTTCGAATCATAGCCATTGTATCGTCGATGTTGAAGTTGGGGTCTTTCTCTGGAACGGTCAAACGGAAGAGGGCATTGCGTGCTTCTTCAGAGCGGTCTTTTCGAATAAGCCACCACGAAGATTCAGGTGCTAGAGCTACACCGATGATGATGGGAACAGGCCAAATCCATTGAATAGCGAATGGAATCTTGTAGCCCCATTCGTCAGAGGGACCTTGCATGCCTTTGAGTAAACCCTGAGCAGTCAGTCAGCACCGTACTCGCACGCGTTTCGAAAATGTGCTTACCGCTGCAATTAATTGGCCCATGACCCAGCATAGGTTAACATAAGTTGTCAAATATGGTCTCAAAATAACCGGGCAAACCTCCGAAGCGTAGGTGGTAGTCGTGGTCGGGAAAACACCCCATGGAATGCCGATCAAAATCTCTCCCACCAAAAGAACCGGAAGACTTTTGGTAAAAATGATAATAAAGATGAAGGCAATACATACCAGCATAGCGGCAATGATGCTCTTGCGATAGCCGAAGCGTTCGACAATCATACCAGTAGCGAAAAGGCCCAAAATCTGACCGACAAGACATCCGTTCATCAATCCCGATTGCCATGCCGATGTTATTTGGTAACTTCCGTCCGGCTGCTCGATGCCAAAGGGAGATTGAAATGGACCATATGCATACAGTGTAGCTAGGAGTGCATTGTCATATCCTTCTATGACCAATGAAGTGGAGAAGAGAATCGACCACCCAACAGCGTGAGGATAACTCTTCAAAGCCTGAAGTAAACTCATATTATGTTCAGCTTCAGTCGCTCGTTTTGCCTCAGAAATGGCATCGTGATTGGGGATTTCGCTTTTGCGCAGAGGCTTGGGATCGTCGTCGCAGCTTGGAAGAGCCATCGTGGATATGTGATGATATAAAATGCTTTGAATTTTCTGGAAGGACTTGATTAGAAGTGGAATATTTATTCGCATAGCAGAAGCACGGCCTTTATATAAGGGGTGGCATGACCCTGCAAGCTTAACTGTTCCCGGATTCTTGGTTACCTCCTAGAATACCCCACGATTGAAATCAACCAAGGGGAAACCCAAGCGATGTCGGGCCGAGACTGAGCCAATAGTTTTTCCTACCGAAGTTTCTCTCCCACTGGCGTGATGCAGATAAAGCCACCTGAGAATATCGTGGGGTAAGAAAGTTTGGGGTCGATCTAAATAACAACAGGGGTCGTCAAAGAAAATTCGGCCCACGAGCCTAAATTTGGCGTAGCGCGTCAGCCAGTCAACTCGATCACAAAGAATTGTGAACAGGACCACGAGGTCAAAGAGTTATCGGTCCGAGATAAGACCAATTAAATGCGCGAGTCGCGTATGCCATGCTGGCGTGCTGGCTAGGCGGGGTAAATGATGTCGGACCGACAACAGGCCAATGATATCCTCTTGACTACCACCAGTGGGGAACTGTAGCAAGATAAAAGAATCGAGGAGAGATTCATTTTATTTCATCAGACTCCTGTATTGAAATCATTCATTTATCTACTTGGATCGATTTCCACTTCACTTAACTAATTTCAAGTTTTTGTTCGGCTGAATCTTATCTCTATCTTCAAGATGTCATCCCCGTGGTGGAAAAATGCTTCTATCTATCAGATATATCCCGCCAGTTTCAAAGATACAAATGGCGACGGAATCGGCGACTTGCCAGGTATTCTGAGCAAGTTGGACTATATCAAGACGCTAGGCGTTGATGCAATCTGGATATGTCCGATGTATGACAGTCCTCAATACGACATGGGCTACGACATTGCAAACTATGAGGATGTCTATGCACCTTACGGAACAGTCTCAGATGTCGAAGCTATCATCGCAGCATGCCACGAGCGTGGTCTTCGTATACTGTTCGATCTAGTAATCAACCATACCTCCTATCTACATGCTTGGTTTAAAGAATCACGCTCTTCCAAAGCCAGCTCCAAGCGAGACTGGTACATCTGGCAACCAGCAAAATATGACGCTGATGGAACCCGTCGTCCACCCAATAACTGGCGCAGCTTTTTTGGCGGCAGCACCTGGGAGTTCGACGACGAAACACAAGAGTATTATCTCCATCTGTTTGCGGTTGAACAACCTGATCTCAACTGGGAGAATCCAGAAACGCGAAAGGCAATCTACGATTCAGCAGTTACATTCTGGTTGGAAAAGGGAATTGACGGATTTCGCGTTGACACAGTCAACATGTATTCGAAAAGGTCATTTGCGGATGCCCCGATTCTTGACGAGCGACTCGAATGGCAGCCGGCACATTCCCTGTTCTGCAACGGCCCCCGAATCCATGAATTTCTGCGCGAATTGGGTCAGATATTGGATAAATACGACGCAATGACCGTCGGCGAGCTACCTCACACTCCACAAATCACCGAGGTACTTAGCTACGTCTCAGCCCAGGAGAAACAGCTCAGCATGATCTTTCAATTCAATGTGGTTGAAACCGGAACTGGTGATCCCACATTTAACACAACACCACGCAACTGGACCCTCCCAGACTTTCGCAAGAGAATTTCACAAACTCAGGAACTCGTTCCTACTGATGGCTGGAGTACATCATTTCTTGAAAACCACGACCAAGCTCGATCGATATCGCGTTTTGGGAATGAGGAAACGCCAGAATACTGGGCACTCAGTGCGAAGATGCTCGCTATCCTTGTCACAACACTCTCCGGAACGGTTTACATCTACCAAGGACAGGAAATTGGGATGGTAAATATCCCACTCGAGTGGGATATTGAAGAGTACAAGGATGTTAATAGTATAAACTACTACAAGTTCATCAAAAACTCGACAAACAATAACCCGACCGCCGTGAAAAAGGCAAAAGAAGCGCTGGCCCATCTGGCTAGAGACCATTCGCGCATTCCGATGCAGTGGGATGGTACAGCGAATGCCGGGTTCACCACGGAGTCTGCAAAGCCCTGGATGCGCGTGCATGATAACTATCCCACTCTTAATGTCGAGAAGCAACGGAATGATTCGAAGTCCGTCTTGGCCTTTTGGCAGGAAGCGCTCCGGGTGAGAAAGTCTTTGCCAAAGGTATTTGCACATGGTGTTTTCAGTGACACTGATCCATGCAATGATAGTCTCTTCATTTTTGAGAAGACTGGTGATGGCCAGAAACTCCTTGTTTTGCTCAATTTCACTACCGAAGCAAAGCCCATTGATATCTGGGAGCGTCTTGGGGATGCACCACGCAAGGCCATAATCAAGAACTATGAAGATGAGCCGCTAGATTCCTTGAGACCGTTGGAAGGACGAGTTTATCTCTTGGATAATTAGGAATTTGAGATAGAGACAAGCTTCCCAAGGTTGGAATGCCGTCGGAAATTGATTGATAGATCGGGACAAATATGGACTAAATGGAACATTGAAGTCGCAAGTAGGCAAAGACCAGATTTAGAGTAGTAACTCAATTTCTTTGATCTCAGGATACTTCAGACGGATTTGTTCGAATTTCTGTGTAAGAACCGCCGGTCGCAACGCCTGAAAGCCCGCAAAAGAGAAGACGAAATTTTTCAAAAAGAGAATATCATGAATACGCTGAATAGTCTCGTTCCCCGGCGCACAGTGTAAATGCAGCACAACATCGGTGATGGTATTCGCGATTTCGAAAAGCTTTTCAAGGATTCCAGATCCGTGGATTGCGACAATATCCCGCGGTATGGCTCTTAAAAACTGGCGTAATTGATTCGATAAGCGCAGCGGGAAGGACAGCGAGAGAAGCGATGAGCCCGGTGAGCTTGCCGATGACAATAGGGTATTTGATAACGCAATTTGCCACGTAAGCGTACGTAGCCAATGCCTTGTAATGATGAGGTCTGCTTGTAGTATCTCCGGTAGTCGAGAAACTTCACGATGCCAATCGGTGTCCTCTAACTGTTGCTGTTTCTTTTCGATCCAGTCGACCGTGACACCTGATCTGTCACCCATTAAAAAATGCAGGAATTCCTGATCCACGAGACAGAAGTTCATGATATTATGGTTGAAACCATCCTCGACATGCTCCGGTAGGGAAGGATCGTGCACGGGTAGCCTTGACAAGGGGGTAAGGCAGGTTGGGCGTTGGTACGTGAGCGCTGTAAACCGCTCGTGCATAAAACACTCCCAATACGCCCGCTGCCATCTCGGCGCCGATTCATCGTCTAAGTCAGCTTGTAGCATGTAAAGTAATGATATAGCTTCACGTAAGTACAGGAAGCCCAAGTCGAGCCGTCGGAGACCAATGCTGCACATTTGCGTGAAGAGACTGGTCATCAGATCTGTGATCCCAGGCTTGGAATCTAAATGGAATGGCCGGCGGTGCTCCAATGAGCGTGTCAATAGTATTGAAATCTGGTCACGCTTCGTAGACTCCTGCTGTAAAGGGTCACTTCGACCAAGATTCAGAGTCACAGCGGCGAAGATATAGGCAAAAGAGGCTGCGTCACGGCAATCGTTCATATGCAAGATCATATCTCGGGCTTCGGCTTCCGTCACAACAGGGCTCAAGGGGTAAACGTATTCGATGTAGCTGGGCAAGAAGTCTAAGAAGAATGCCGGATTTGGATGTGATTGAATTGAAGAGGGGACCGATCCTGATGAGCTCCATGTCCGGCATTCAGCGATTACACTGCCTCGTCGTCGCTCCTTTCGCGCACGCTGCACTGGGTGAGGGGCATAGGTACATCTGAGACCGATATGGGTGCATTGCTGGCATTTCTTCTGGCCATTGCAGCGAATTTTGCGCCGTTTGCAAGGATCACAGGCCCTGGAAGCTCGCTGTTGTGTCATGTCAATCGGGAGTGTAAATATCATGGAGGGAAATGCGGAGAGAACCTTACGAAATCGGGGTTGAATGGGGCAAAGGAGTGGGGGTCGCGGGAAGCAACAAAGAGAACTGGGTACAGACCGGGTCATTCTAAAACTCGAAGAACTATATTTTACTTCAAGGTCATTTTATTATGACAGCTTGGATTGCAGATCTGGCATTCCTTAGAAGAACATAATTTGTGGATTGATGATTCTCAAAGGTTCTTTCTTATCACTCACAGGGTCCCCTTGAAGCTGTTACCAAGGTACTTGGACGAGCACAATAAAATGATCGAAACAAAAAAAAGATTTGACATGAGTTTAATTTTACTCTAGTTTTTTTCTAAATTGCTGCTAAAATGAATCCGAATGATGAGGCTCTCGCTGGGGATGCGACCCATTTAACCGATCCCAAGATCCAATCTCGACTGCGCAAGGTGTAAGACAAATCTGCCATGCAATGACTACCCCTCATAAAAATTGGTAGTAGCTAGTCAGATTACTTTGCTAATGCTTCGCAGTGCCGATTTCCAAGTCCTACCACTGCTCTTGGTCGCTTTCGCTAGCTACCAGCTAGATCGAACCAACATTTCGAGTGCACTAACTGGCGGATTCGCTTCGGCAATTTCAGTCGATCAAAATACTGTCAATATCGGAAATCAGCTTATGTTCCTGGGTGTGATTGTTTTAGAAATCCCCTCAAATGTCATATTACATCGGGTAAGCTAGGCCACTTGTCTCAATTCTTGCGGTCGACCTCCCAGGACGATTCTCCTTACAAACTTGAACAAACAGATCGGTCCTCGCTACTGGATCGGGGCTCAAGTTCTAATATTCGGATTCATCGCCGCACTACAAATATTTATTCGCAATCGCACTGGTTTCCTGGTCACGCGGTCTATCCTTGGTCTTGCGGAAGCTGGATTTATCCCCGGTGCTATGTTTACGTTATCTCAATGGTATACCAGAGAGGAAATCACGCGACGGATCGCGATCTTCTTCTTCGGCATGTTTGGAGGCACGGCTGTGGGACCGCTCCTGGGCGCTGGTCTGCTCAGATTGGATGGGATGGGGAATCTTTCTGGATGGCAGTGGATATTTTTGGGTAAGATGGATTGATCATTCACTGTATGATTTCAAAGCTTTCGTATGTTCTGACTATCTATTTATACCAGTGGAGGGAATTTGGACGATCACGGTTTCATTTACGCTGCTATTATTTCTCCCCGAGAGAGGTAACTACGAACAGCCCTTCGAGCCCGAAAAGGCGCCAGAGGGAATCGATTGCGCACCGAAAAATCTATCCCGATCGAAGATTCCACTCAAAGTCATCCTCGAAACTCTGACAAACGTTAGTAAATGGCCGCACTTTCTGGCAACAGCGTGCGTTTTCGCGACCTGGAGTCCATTGACTACTTACACACCGAGCATAATAATGTCACTTGGCTTTTCACGAGTGCAGTCGAACGCTTTGACGGCGATTGGAAATATGATGACTTTACCAGTCGTCTTTTTCTTCGCGTGGCTCAGTGACAAAACTTGCAGACGGGGAATGACAGTGATGATCGCAATTATGGTATATCTGATAGCACTTATTTGTTTAAGAATTATACAGCCACATGTCGATTTCTGGAGCAAATTCGGTCTTTGGACAACTGTGAATTCTCTCGCAGTCGGTTATCATCCTATCCATAATGCCTGGATACAAATGAATAGCAGAAGTCCGGAGGAGAGAAGTATTGGAGTGGCGTAAGTACAGCTCCTCGCTTAAGACTCGCTCACGGCTAACCTTGGAACACCAGTATGTGTATGTTTGATTCTTTCTTCGAGCCAACAGAATGATACTAATGAATTAGTCGTCATGTGCGCAACTGCCGGATTAATGGCAGGTACACAAATCTTCCGACAAGAGGATTCTGGAGAATTATATCCCAATGGGCTTTTAATAATGATTGGGCTAGTCCTTATGGGGCTCATTCTAACCGCCCTGCAGGAAGTCATATATTACGTGCAGAACCACCGGGCCGAAAAAGAGGGCGGGCCTACACTGGCAGAGCTTAATATTCTCTGAAAACCACACCGGTGATGAAGTCCACTATTATGACCTGATAGAAAATAGTTTTCCGAAGACTTTCAACAATCGTGATGAAATAATGCGCTCCATCAGGAATAAATCCTCAGTCAATCTTCAAATCTGAAACGTGGGGTCGTAACCTCGTATACCCCTCGTATACTCCCGGCTAACGAGCGCCGATCAATGTAACCCCTGGCCACGGTACCTGTAGATAGCCTCGAATGGAAAAATAGCAAAACGCAACGTGGCACAGGAATGATGTAGATCTGAATCGTCAAAGAGGCGATTGGGTTTGCGTATAAATACTAGTACCTACAGTAGGCAAGTGGTTGACATCGCACACGCAAACTTCTTCAACACAACACCTATTTCCACAATGCGGATCGCAACTTCAACGCTTCTTGCCCCTCTCTTCCTGTGCCTCACACTGGCAGACACAACTCAAGCTACCAGCTCCAACGACCTTACCGTGGAAGTAGGCCACCATGTCATTTTCTCATATCCAGGCCTCGAGCCCCCGACTCATCTCTTCGACCTAATCAAACAAGGGAAAGTCGGAGGCATAATTCTATTCGGAGAAAACGTCGACAGCAACCTCAGCAACGTAATCGAAAATTTCCAAAACGCGTACCAACAAAGTCCCACCTATGCGGGGTTTCCATTGCTCATCACAACAGACCAAGAGGGAGGTCAAATCCGCCGACTCCCCGGCGGTCCCGAACAGAGCGCGAAACAAGTAGGACAGTCCACCGATCCGAAAGGGGCAGCGACAAAAGCCGGCCAGGACGCAGCAGTTACTCTGAAGGAGTATAAAATGAACGCAAATCTAGCGCCTGTCCTTGATGTTTATCGAGAAGCGGATGATTTCACAGACCAGTATGGTCGCTCCTTTAGCAATTCCTCCGCCGTGGTGAGCGAGTGTGGTTTGGCATTTATCACCGCACAACAGAAAGCAGGTGTACTCGCTACAGCAAAGCATTTCCCTGGTTTGGGAGCTGCATTGAAAGATTCGAATACCGATGAAGAACCTGTTACTATCGACTTGACGCTTCGCCAGCTTCATACCGTCGATCTGGTACCTTACAAAGACGCCATTGCTGCTGGATTGGACATGGTCATGACATCGTGGGCTATTTATCCGGCGCTCGACGATAAATATCCTTCTGGGTTGAGCAAGAAGTGGGTACAGGGGGAATTGCGAGGTCGGTTGGGATTTGAGGGCGTTACGATTACTGATGCGATCGAGGCTGGGGCGCTTAAGTCGTTTGGGGATGATGCGACTCGGGGACTTTTGGCTGCGCAGGCTGGGATGGATATTCTTTTAGCTTCTGGGAGGAATGTGAGTCAAGGTGAAGCTATTGTGAATGGATTGGTTGCTGCGTTGCAGAATGGGAATCTGTCCAAGGACTTGTTTTCGGAGGCTACTGATCGGATTTTGGGTATGAGGAAGAGAATTCAGGGTTAGGGGGGGTTGTGTATCTCCGTATTCTTCGTGTGCAAGCATAATCAAGCGTATACCTTGGTAGAATCGTGACCCACTGTGTTCGTATCTGACAGTTTCGGAATAATCGTACTCCCTACTGCTGTATGATTAACTATCCATCGGCTCGAGGCAGTTCGCGTAATGGCCAACGGATCTTTCAACAAACTTTTCATGTCTTGAACTTTGTCTCGGCAACCTTCCTACCCGAACGTGGATCAAGCTGATTAATATTTGGGGGCCAAGTAAATTTTGTCGGAATATTCCTCGATGGCATCTCGTTTAGGGTGATATTGTTTGCCTCCGGTGCGGGTTGGAGCCAGTCTGGTGTATAGATCGGGCATTTCCAGTGCCCCTCGGCGGAGACAAAAAATTTGCCAGATGTTTAGTGTGTTCGGCAATGAGTGCTAGTGTGTTTATAGCGGGTAGTTGAGAGGCGAGAACGCTCTTCTGGAGTCGCTAGAGTGAGTACCTTGGACGTTAGAAGCGGGTACTTTTGTTCGGAGTAGCCATTCATATAGAACAGATTGAAAAGCGAGTGGGTGTTGAATGGGTAGTTGGTTTAGTTGCCTTCGTTTATTTTTTTTTCATATGAATTCCAAGTGATAATTTGGCGTTTTAGCAATAACCTTGGAATGATAATAATAGGAGTGGTAGTAACTAGTAGTTGGTTGGTTGACTGGAATTTGAGGCTGCCAGTGGTGGACCCGCCGTTTTCGGAGTCAGCAGAGTAGCAGCAGTGTAGTTTATAGGCAGCTATATATGCCCAGGTGTCAACCAAATGGTAACTAATGGTATTCTTTAATATACTAGTATAATCAAATAATATGTAGTTATAGTATTCTATTTAGAATACTATGAATAATAAAAACTATACTATAACCCCTAGTAACTATACTATGCTATGCTCTGCTATGCTAGTATACTATGCTAGTGTTGTTACACGCCACCGGATTAAGCTCCACTCCGCTGCTCCGCCCGGACTGACGCTATCTTCTCGCAATCCCCGATTGCACTTTTTATCCCCCTCCTTCTCTTCCTTCAATTACCTTACTGCCACTGGTACAGCCGCTCTCATTTTATCTTCGCGACAACTTCTCCCCTGTGGCCCTGCGCGACTCAGCGCCCCTGCCATATCGCGACAGCTCCGAGTCTAACGCCATCATGGGTCTCTCCAAGACTCACAGGATTGTCATCCTGCTGGTGATCGACTCGGCCTTCTTCCTCCTAGAATTGAGCACTGGTGAGTATCTCTTGCATCCTCTCATATCACCTATCTCGCCTTCGATCTCCTCTAACTGACCACGTCTGCAGGTTATGCCGTCCACTCCCTTGCTCTCGTCGCCGATTCATTTCATATGGTACACCAACACCCTTCGTCGCACCAGCTCTCTCTCCCTCTCACCAGCTCCCTAACACTTCCATTCTAGCTCAACGATGTCATCTCCCTCTGCGTCGGTCTCTGGGCGGTTCGCGTCGCCAACAACGAGACAAACTCCAAGATGTACACTTATGGCGTAAGTCGGCCCACATCAACATACCCGGAAAAATAAAACGTCGTCTAATGATTGATATTTCCCTTCGATTAGTGGCAACGCGCCGAAACTCTCGGTGCCCTTGTGAATGGTGTCTTCTTGGTTGCACTGTGCATGTCGATCTTCCTGGAGGCCATTCAACGATTGGTCGAGCCGCAAGAGGTGCAGAATCCTAAGTTGGTCTGCATCGTCGGATGCTTGGGCCTCCTCTCCAATATGATAGGCCTTGTGCTCTTCCACGACCACTCTCACGGACACGGCGGCCATGGCCACTCCCATGGCCATTCTCATGATGAGGAGGACGTCGAACACGGCCACGAGCATGACCATGTTCACGACCACGATCATGAACATCAAAGTGACCCCATCGTCGCCGATCCACGAGGAAGCGTTGCGGAGATCATGCCCGAGAACCTCGTCAGTGCCCGTGGTCCTGGCAGTCTCTCCCAGACCAGTTCCCCCGCCATCGAGCCCGCTTCTCCTAGCTCCCGCAAGCGTCGCCTGGAATCTCAGACTCGTGGCTCGCGCCGTTACAGCACTTCGACCGGACGTGGCATCGGTAACGTGGAGGATATCTACGTTCACCCGGCGACTATGCGACAGGATATCATTGCTGCTAGTCGCGGCACTTTCGATCACGAGCAGTCCTCGGATTCCGACAGCCGCGATGACGAAACCCCCACCGAGCGATCCGGCCTGCTGAACAATCGCGACCGCGCCTCCAACTACACTGATGAGCAAGATGGTCCCTTCAAGGTTCCCCTCGCACCATCGAAGAGGATGTTCACAAAGACCACAACCACGCCCAACCCAAGCCGAAGAACAAGAAGGGCGGCCACAGTCACGACCTCAACATGCGCGGTGTTTTCCTCCACGTCATGGGCGATGCCCTTGGCAACATTGGTGTGATCGCCTCTGCCCTCATCATCTGGCTCACTGACTACGAATGGCGATTCTACGTCGACCCCGGCATTTCCCTCCTTATCACCGTGATCATTCTGATTTCCGCCATCCCCCTCTGCAAGGCCGCCTCGCGTATTCTCCTGCAAGCCGTGCCGCAGGGCATGAGTATCGACCATATCAAGGAGGACATTGAAGGTCTTCCTGGTGTCATTGGCTCGCACCATCTCCACGTCTGGCAGCTGAGCGATACTAAGATTGTCGCATCCATTCACATCCAGGTGGACACCCAAATCAAGGGCGAAGGCTCGGAGCGCTATATGCGTCTTGCCCGCCAGATCCGTCGCTGCTTGCATGCATATGGCATCCACTCCTCCACCATCCAGCCCGAGTTCGCCCCAGATAGCGATGTCGACGAGATCCAGAACGGCACTCTGCCTTCTGCCTCCTCTCGTGCGGTGAATACAGATGCCAACCACTCCAGCAGTGCTGGCAGTCTTCGTGACGGCGATCCTCAGGCTTGTTTGCTGGCATGCGATGATAATTGTGGCCGTGGTGGCCAATGCTGTCCCAAAAAGTCCCCTTAATCTTTGATTCCATTCAATTCGATTTGATTTGACGTGAACCATCTCCCGGCCATTCATTATTTCGGCCTCGTTTGTTATTTTCCTTTTTTCCTCTTTTCAGTCTAGGTCGGTTTGCCAAACTCCTAACAAACCTTCATAACCTCATCAACCCTTTTCAATCTACGCCTCCGTTGTTCATATCCTATATCCTCGAATCGAACCCTGTATTTTTCCCCCCCACACACACACACCCACGCACGCCCGCATTCTCTCTTTGTCTTATCATCATTCCTCATACTTCCATATCACCCGGGAACCACACGAATGACTCCCATTCGGCGGAATGGACCACCCGATAGAACCGCTCGCATGACATTGGATTTGGATTTGGGTCTTTTTCGGCCTCTAGTCTTAGTCGGATATTCGACTATCATACATGTACTAGTACTTTACCTATCATTAATTCACCCGGAAATCCGCCTCCATTTTTGACACTGCGCCCTGCTGATGTGCATCGGATACCCCGTACTATACTGTATACACTGCCCTAGATAGGATAGAGGATCGGCCCCACCAGTCCAGTCCAGTCCACGTCAAGTCTAAGTAGTATGCGGTCTGGAATACTCCCTGTGTTATTAAAATAAAACTGTCAACCTGAATTCTCATATACAATTGTCAAATATATCAATTGTATCAATTGTATAGATTGTCTCAGCTATTTCCGTCGCAACCACGTGACCGCCGATCGCCCCTGGCCAGCCTGGTCTGCCCTACAAGCAGCCAAGGTGGTTACTCTTGTTATCATCCCCTCCCATCCCTGTTCAACTTGCCTTGGGGAATTTCTCTACTCCCCCACTTCAATTATCCTTCCCTTTTCTTCTTCTTTTTCCTTTTCTTAAGACTATGCAGCGTCACTCCTTTCGCTGATTTATTATCCCCCGTCCTTTCGGGGCCCGAGCCAACGACAAAGCCTTGCCAAGCCCCCGGCCGACAATGAGCTACGCCTATCCTCGAAGCACCGGTGCTTCGTCCCTTCCTTCATATAAAAGTCCTTCTCCGCAATCGCCGACCTTCATAGACCAAGCCTGGGGCCGGCTTCCAGGCGCAAAACAATGGGTGGAGGATGGGGTGGCCGCAATCGGGTCTAGAAGATCGCGCGAGCGTGGTGATGTCCAGAGCTCCGCGACCAGGATCTTCAGGCGGATTTTCACAGTCGCCAATGCTGTGATATTGGTCTGGGTATGGACGCTGTGGTGGGGAGAGCGTACGGTCTTTCAGGAGCATATTGATGCGTGTATTTGGGATAATTGGGAGCATTGGGTAGGTCATGCAGAGCTTCGGAGCCATACATACTATCACCTCTACAGTCTCCGGCACTCCTCAGCACTAAGTTGCCAAGTTGATTCAATTTGCTTATTTTTTTTTCTTCACCAATAGCCTCAACATGCCACCCCGCATCATATCGCTTTTGTCGCCGATCCACAGCTCGTTGACCCCCACACCTACCCCGGTCGTCCGTGGCCGCTCTCGACCCTCACCGTCAAATATACTGATCAATATATGCGCCGCTCCTTTGCATCCATACAAGAAAAGTTGGTACCTGATTCGGTCCTTTTTTTGGGAGATCTGTTTGATGGTGGTAGAGAATGGGCTACAAGGACGACGACGAGCCCCGAAGATCGCTACAAAAAGATCGACGATACCTTTTGGAGGAAGGAATACCGGCGATTCGTGAAGATCTTCATTGACCCCTGGCTGAAGCAAGATATTGCCCCGGTTGATGGCCGAGGTCGCAAAATGATCGCCAGCCTACCAGGAAATCACGATTTGGGTTTTGGCAATGGAGTTCTTGAACCCGTGCGTGATCGCTTTCAAAGCTACTTCGGCGACAGCAATCGGGTCGATGTGATTGGAAACCATACCTTTGTCTCAATCGATACTGTATCACTCAGCGCAATGGATCAACCGGACCCATTAACGGGCA